GATGCACCTGCGCATACTAGAAGGTGCATCCGTGCTGCTGGTGCGCGAGATAGCAGCGTACACCACACTCCGTCAGTCTATTAACAACATAGTTAACGCTGTATGACTACGTGACCGCATATAGGAATACCGCATGTGACGATATGCTGTGCTGTGTTATCTGTTGCATGCAGTGGAAAACCTCAATTACCATGATCTTGTTTTCTTGTACGAAGTATTTTTCTAAGCACGCAAAGCGCCACGTGCATTAGAGCGATAGATATGCTAGCGGTGTGCAACTTTGCAATTTTTGACCCGTGATGCTGTGAGCAGGTCATCAAAACTTCACTTGAAGGTTCTGTGCATATTACGGCTTACGTGCTTAAGTAATTCCAACTACCGCCATGCGGCATGTACATATTTTGTACGTGTGTTTCCAAGGGCAAGGCTGTCAAACTAATGCGCGCGTGCAATGATGCCCTGGTATGATAACCTGGTGAAGTGATGAGAAGGAGCATAATTTCTGCCCGCCCTGTGGTTTTGAGACTGAAATGCAGCAGCGCGCTGTCTGAGTCCCTTCAGTAATAATTCTGGACATCACATGAGGATGCGCGTCAATGTTTGCATAAGCGCTGCAGCGGCGCGTTTGCTCTGAGTTCTCTTCTTGAGCTCTCCTCCTGTCCACAATTCCCCGTGACTAACGCTAAGCGCAGGCGGAAGAGCACCGCCAGCCGTCTCCCCGCCTGCGAGTCGGCATGGTATGTCCGCCTCCGTGTGGGCGCAGCGCTGCCGCTCCTGCGTGCAGCGTGCCTCTGCGCCGAGTGATGTCAGCGGCGCCTGTCACCAGGAGCTACCGTGGCGATCCGACAGATCGCGCTCGCGTCACTGTTGCCGTCCCGCGGCCGTCCGCGGCCAGTCCCCCCCGGTGCACTGTCGCTACCTCGCCGAATGCCCCAGCCTACCGCTGACGAGAGTCGTCTTTCTGTGTCGGGCGCACCCGCGGGGCTTTGGGGCCTCTGAGCGTCCTGCTGTGTTCAGCGCACCCGCGGGGGTTTGGGGCCTCTGAGCGTCCTGCTGTGTTCAGCGCACCCACGGGGCTTTGGGGCCTCTGAGCGTCCTGCTGTGTTCGGCGCGCCCACGGGGCTTTGGGGCCTCTGAGCATTCTGCCGTCTCCAGCCAAAGGGTATTCGGGGCCTTTGAGTGTGCTGCTATGTCCGGCGCGTCCGCGTGGGTTCGGGACCTCGGAGCGTGCTGCTCTGTGCTCAGCCCGCGGGTGTTCTGAGCCTCTGAGCGTTTCTACTATGTTCGGGCGCGACCGCGAGGTTCGGGGTATTTGAGCGCTTCGCTGTGTCTGGCGCGCCGCGAGGGGTTTAGGGCCTCTGGGCGGCTCTGCTATTCCCGACCCACGGGTGTTTGGGGGGCCTCTGTGTGGGCTGTTTGCGCCCGGGCCCGCGGGTGGTTCGGGGCTTCTGAATGCACTGTCATGCCAAGCCCGCAGGGTGTGCAGGGACTCTCGAGTGTGCTGCTGAGCCAGGCCCACAGGTGTGCAGGGACTCTCGAGTGTGCTGCTGAGCCAGGCCCGTGGGGTGTTTAGGGCCTCTTGAGTGTGCTGCTGAGCCAGGCCCCGTGGGTGTTTAGGCCTCTTGAGTGTGCTGCTGAGCCAGGCCCGTGGGTGTTTAAGGCCTCTTGAGTGTGCTGCTGAGCCAGGCCCGTGGGTGTTTAGGGCCTCTTGAGTGTGCTGCTGCGCCTCAAAGCTGACCGCTGCCGAGAGCTGCGCTCCGCTCGAGGTTTCTACACCGCGTTAAGGGGATGTGGGGAAGGGGTCCAGACCGACACTGACTCAGCGGCTCTGCTGCGTTAAGGGATGTGGGGAAGGGGGTCCAGACCGACACTGGCTCCAGCGGCTCTGCTGCGTTACGGGATGTGGGGATGGGGTCCAGACCGACACCGACTCCAGCGGCTCTGCTGCGTCACGGGATGTGGGGATGGGGTCCAGACCGACACTGACTCCAGCGGCTCTGCTGCGTTACGGGATGTGGGGATGGGGTCCAGACCGACACTGACTCCAGCGGCTCTGCTGCGTCACGGTCACGGGATGTGGGGAGGGGTCCAGACCGACACCGACTCCAGCGGCTCTGCTGCGTCACGGGATGTGGGAGGGGGTCCAGACCGACACTGACTCCAGCGGCTCTGCTGCATCACGGGATGTGGGGAGGGGGTCCAGATCGACACTGACTCCAGCGGCCCCGCTACGTCACGGGATGTGGGGAGGGGGTCCAGATCGACGCTGACTCCAGCAGCCCCGCTACGTCACGGGATGTGGGGAGGGGGTCCAGACCGACACCGACTCCAGCGGCTCTGCTGCGTCACGGGATGTGGGGAGGGGGTCCAGACCGACACCGACTCCAGCGGCTCTGCTGCGTCACGGGATGTGGGGGAGGGGGTCCAGATCGACGCTGACTCCAGCAGCCCCGCTACGTCACGGGATGTGGGGAGGGGCGTCCAGATCGACACTGACTCCAGCGGCTCTGCTTGCGTCACGGGATGTGGGGAGGGGGTCCAGATCGACACTGACTCCAGCGGCCCCGCTACGTCACGGGATGTGGGGAGGGGGCCCAGATCGACGCTGACTCCAGCAGCCCCGCTACGTCACGGGATGTGGGGAGGGGGTCCAGACCGACACTGACTCCAGCGGCTCTGCTGCGTCACGGGATGTGGGGAGGGGGTCCAGATCGACACTGACTCCAGCGGCCCCGCTACGTCACGGGATGTGGGGAGGGGGTCCAGACCGACACTGACTCCAGCGGCTCTGCTGCGTCACGGTCACGGGATGTGGGGATGGGGTCCAGACCGACACTGACTCCAGCGGCTCTGCTGCGTTAAGGGATGTGGGGAGGGGGTCCAGATCGACACTGACTCCAGCGGCCCCGCTACGTCACGGGATGTGGGGAGGGGGGTCCAGATCGACAACCGACTCCAGCGGCCCCGCGACGATGGCGACCCTGCGTATTGGAGCGCGACCTGGGTCTTGCGGGAAGGTAGTGTGTGCGTTTAACGCTCCTACTGTGTTGTGCCCAACTGTGCCTATATCTTGGCTTGTCAGAGTCAACGTGGCCTTAACTGTGAAATCATCGACGGCTTTTGTTGAGTGCTACATTGCTCGCTTTATGACATTTCTTCACTTTTTTACCATTTCAGCAAACTATTTACATCCAAAGCGAGCTTTCTACCAAATGACTTGCTATTCGTGTCATATGAAACATGAGTGTTGTGAATTGTGTGCCTAAGACCCCCGTCGTACTTCACGCAATATAGAAGTGGCGGGAAAACGTTGCTATGTCCTCTAAAACTCTGTCCAATATATTCTACTGTAATCTGAATCAGTCACCAAAACAGGAACACTACGCCGATAAAACAGAGATGAATGATACTTTAAGCCAGGATAGATGTCACAGCTAATCCATAAGGGAAATCGACTTACCAATAAGCTTCGCGAACCTGTTGCCTCACGCATCGCGCGGATGCGAATGGACGCCGCAAAACATCAATCGTTGTGGTTCACTTCACAGTGCCCAACAGCCACCCGTTCACCACTGCTGACAGAGCCCGTCCTGCAACATTTACACTCATCACTGTGATCAGATAGGTCACATCTGGAAGCAACGTAACCACATGGTCAACGGCCTGGTTGTTCCGCCCTACAGAACTCGCGCGCAGCGTTCACCTGCCACTTGTTGCGAGTCCCTGCTCGTGACAAGCGTCCGTGGGACAATCACAGCGTCCACCCACCACACTTGTCTGCCTCACTCTTTCGGCACATAAAAGTTACACGGCCTCATTTTGGCATTATGCAAGCATTCTGTAGATCCAACCGTGACTTGCAAGGGAACAGTCGCTAGCTTCAGGTCAAAGAGTCAGTTCAGCTTTAAGAGAAACAGGGGTGCTGGCGCACCCGGCTTGCAGTCGGTCGTGCACCTGATGCGTGGTGTCGATTCTCCGAGACTGCCCGAGCCCTGCCTCGCTATGGTCTCGTCACAGCCGAGCGAGCGCATCAATCACGGAGACCATACTACTTGGGTGATAATGAGGTAACTCTAAGCATCTACGGTAATGACCACCTGGTCTCCACCAGTGGATTAAAACGAAAGCATTACAACAGCTCAGCATTCATCCAAAACCTTTCGAGCAATTTCATACTTGTTGGTCTACCGTTTTGTAGACAACTTCAGACAGGATCGCGTCGGAAGGGCACAACCGGAGCAATCGAGAAACGCCGTCCTGCATTTTAAAATATATTCGCTTGAGTGGGCTGTTTACATTAAAACGGTCATCACAAAATGAGTGCAGTGCACGCTTCTCAATCATCATACGACAATAGTTCCAGAAAAAAGACGGAAGCCGCCTCCGATCCCATCGAGATACGGGCTACTACCGTCCTGACAACGCGCTAAGCATACGACAACCGGCATCTCAAAGGGCCAAAGACAGAAAGACCAAAACTAAACTACCCAGCGCATCGAGGCAGCTGCAGTGCTCTGTCTGCCTCCTACACCTATATATAGATACTGGCGTATAACGCAAGGCGCCTCTCAAAGTGACGCTCTCCATCGTTCGACGTCGCTCCGTCTACAAGTGTACCACCGCATATATATATATATATATATATATATATATATATATATATATATATATGTATATGTTTAACTTATCACAGAGACTGACAGACGAGGGATGCCACCCAGATCTAGTGACTAGCAGACGGGTCCGGGCTGCGGAGCAGGCCCCAAGCTCCGGCAGCCAGCCGGGCGCGTACTACCTCCGCAGGCCAGCCCTCGTGGGCCCCGCGCGCACCAGCCACACCTGACCGCGGAACGGGAGGGGAAAGGGGGGGGGGGCGACTCGCCGCCACCCCGGACGACGCGGAAGCGCCGCGCACATCGACACGCACGCACATCGAGACGGCGAGAGCGGCCTCCGAAGAACTGCGGATGCAACGCCAAATCAAACGGGTTTCTTTCTGCAGTGCACTGCGACCGCCAACGGCCAGTCGCAACACCAGCTGTCGGGCGGGCGGCTCAGTTGAACTCGCGGTTGGTGAGGATGAGCGGCGCCACCAGCGACCAGGCGTACAAGGCCAGGCAGAGCCACGAGGACACAATCTTCACCCACATGGAGGCCGAGTTGTTGGAGATGGAGCGCAGGTCCGAGTTCGGGCTGCCGGAGACGGATGTGTCAGCTGAATAGGTAGCCACGCCAGCATTCAATATTTTCGGTCGAAACACAGAACAGCACAGGTCCTACCCGGATGATTCCCGTCAATCAGCTTTAAAACAGCAAGAATAGCTCCGTGCATGAGCTATATATATATATATATATATATATATATATATATATATATATATATATATATATATATATAGTGTGTGTTATACAGCTCACATGTGTCGCAAATATTCTGCCCCAAACCCGTGCTTGTAGACATGCGACATGATCACGACATCCAACGGCCGCCACGCGCCGGCATGTCCAGCGCGGCAATGCCCAGCTGGCGCCACTCGTCTCCTGTCCTCCGACTCCATGAGTTCGCGCCCGGTGAGCACAAGCGATGCTGTCGTGTCGGCCGTCGCCGCTCGGCTCGTGTCAATAGGCCGCCGGCTGGCTAGCAGCGGTCCGGGGCTTCGATCGCGCCCGACCGGCTTCAGTCGCAGCCTTGGAGTCTGGCCTTGGACGCTGAGCCCGTCTGGCCAGGGGCGTCTGCTCCGACGCGACGCAATCATGGCGTGGTCAGCCATCACGCGGCGGCTACGACGAGGCTTGGTGGGCGCATCGCGGCACCTCACGGGCGTCCCTACTCAGGCGTCAAGAACCGCGACATAGCTGGAAGTCCAGCTCTACAAGAGTCAGGAACAGCTACCGGCTACACTCGACTGCGTGTATGTTTACACAACGCCTGGACCTGCGCCCGCAGATCCAGGCGGGGTTTTCCTGGGTGAACCCAACACAGCCGAACATGCCAAACGGCCGCTGTCTACGAGCGACAGTGCGGGGACGGGACACCCTGGGCCGCGGTGTGTGACGTGCCTCACAGCGGCGGCCAAAACAGGCCGGCCAGCCTCAGCTGGTGCTCGTGACCGTCAGTACAGTGATGGGACGGTCCAGCCCGAGGTACAGGCCCGTAGCACAGAGCGCAGTGGCAGCCCAGCCAGGCCACAGCTGTGGGGAGGCTAGGCAGGTAGTGCTCGGAGTGCGACCGCCTGCGACGATGGCGCAGCGCGAGTGCGTCTGCACGCGTCCACCTCAACCCACCTGGAGACCGCACTGTGTCACATGAAAAGCACGTGCAAATGTCACGAGGCGTCACGTCCAAACAGCCCGTCACCATCGCGTGCGTGACGGACGAAAGGCGGACGAGGAAGCCCCATCGGCTTAGCGAGGTGGCGGGGGTGAGCTAGGCCAGCGGCCAGGGCCGCGGATAGAAGAGTGACTTGACGATCGAGGTCGCAAAATGCATCCGCGCAATGCTCTCAGTGTGGTGCGTATTACACGTACGAATGTCGTTGGCGGACTGGTCCCAACGCATTGCGGACACGACACATCGCATGCTCGGTGCTTATCAACGCCCCGCAACGAACTTCCAGAATTGTGAAAAGCGCTCAGACAAAAGTACTAAGTCGATCGACCCCCACTCCCAGGAATTAAACCCTGCATTATTGACGCTTGCCCGGGCGCGCCAAGCCCAGCTCATCCGGCAAAAGGGTTGCGAACACCAGCACAGGTCACTGAGGTGCCAATAACGGTACGGGCCTCGGGCCCCCCGACTGGCCGACTCCTAGCAGAGTGGGCCATGCAGTACGGCCAGCCGCTTCCGGATCACAGGGCAAAACTGTCTTCATCAAAACCTCAGCCCCGTCTCCGGACGTTTTGTCACCTCCGATTCGGAGTTGATATTCAAACCAGCGATCGGAGAAATCAAAGTCATTTTGCCAGCGGTGTAGCGGCGGATCCAGTCGCTTCACTAGTCCAAAAACCGGCGCCCTCTTGCTTGTCGTGACTTGCGGTGGCTTATGCCGCTTGGCGTGGTGTTTTGAACTCTTAGGACTCGGAATGGTATCCCCTACCACCTTTCCAGCTGATGCCCGCTACAAATTCTTTACCCATCCTCCCCGGACCAATTTCGAGGGAGCTGGCGGATCGGCCCACGAGACGGCGTCACGTGACCGGCGCCGTTCGCATCCCCCAGCCGGATATACACGAGTACCAGCTGGTGAGCGTCATCACGACGGCCCACGAGACCACGCCATGTGACCGATGCCGTCTCCATCCCCCGGCCGGATACTTACGAGTACCAGCTGGTGAGCGTCATCATGACGTAGAGCGTGGCCAAGGCGAACATCAGGTGGAAGAAGGACCAGCTGTAGGCTACCGTATCCTCCTCGTTGTCCCAGACCTTGGCGGTCTCGGCGTCGCTCGCAGTACCGCCACCTGAAGACATATCGTCCACATTCAGACTACGCGGTCACACAACAGATGGCGAGCTACGTGACAGGTCACGTGATGCCCTAAACGTAAAAAATACAGCTACAGTTACTTACCGTCAGAAGGCGACATCGATGCACACACCATAAACTAAAGAAGTCCTGTCCGCATTGTTTTGAACACCGAAAGCGCACACAAAAGAACAAATACATGCACTTCGAGGCCAATGACCCGACCAACATAAGGCCCATACAAAGTAAACATAAGCAAGATAGCGTCCCATACATGTCTTTCGTCCGAATGGTCACTCCGACGAAAAAGGTGCAAGAAGAGGGAGCCGAATCGTTCAGCGCTTTCATTTGCATGACAATGGCAGGAAGCAAACAAACGCGATTTTGATGAGCGAGCGAGCGAGAGAGAGCGAGAGCGAGAGCGAGAGAGAGCGAGAGCGAGAGCGAGAGCGAGAGCGAGAGCGAGAGCGAGAGCGAGAGCGAGAGCGAGAGCGAGAGCGAGAGCGAGAGCGAGAGCGAGAGCGAGAGCGAGAGCGAGAGCGAGAGCGAGAGCGAGAGCGAGGAGGAGAGGAGAGAGAGAGAGAGAGCGAGAGGAGAGAGAGAGGAGAGAGAGGAGAGAGAGAGGAGAGGAGAGAGAGAGGAGAGAGAGAGAGAGGAGAGCGAGAGCGAGAGCGAGAGGAGAGGAGAGGAGAGCGAAGCGAGAGCGAGAGCGAGAGCGAGAGCGAGAGCGGAGGAGAGCGAGAGCGAGAGAAGGAGAGGAGAGCGAGAGCGAGAGAGAGCGAGAGAGAGAGAGAGAGAGAGAGAGAGAGAGGAGAGAGAGAAGAGAGAGAGAGAGAGAGAGAGAGAGAGAGAGAGAGAGAGAGAGAGAGAGAGAGAGGAAGAGAGAGAGAGAGAGAGAGATAGAGAGAGAGAGAGAGAGAGAGAGAGAGAGAGAGAGAGAGAGAGAGAGAGAGAGAGAGAGAGAGAGAGAGAGAGAGAGAGAGAGAGAGCACAGTGATGATTGCCGCTCACGGAGCGGATGTAAGGGCAGCGACTTAGTCCCGACGGTAACATTCTGCACCTCCATGAGTCCACGGGACGCCATGAACGTAGCGAACACCAGGACCCTCACGACAGACGTGTCCTTGCTACTGTATACACTACTTGAGAATATTTCGTATAGTCCACGCCCGCTTTCGGCAATATTGGGAAAAGAATAAAGGAGCCCGGATATGGGGCAGGAGGAAGTCTGGTAGCATACCAGTTCGGATGAGATTTCACAAAAACCGGCCACAGTGTGGTCCCTTCACAAAAAATCGAACGAGGCTAATTCTTCAGGCCTGCGTTTGTTTCGCACGCAGAGATTTGTTAGTAGAGTGGCATGCTTACCTTCCGCATCGACCAGGGTGCTGGCATCACTCGGATTGGCTAAAACATAGACGCCAGTTACCAGTCGATACCGATAGGTGTTATAGAGCAAATAGTAGCCAGTTTCGCAGGGCAGAAACATCATTTAAAACATGACCGATCTTTTATTTTCGATCAGCATACCTTTTTCGACCATAACCCGCCCAAAAATTGATGTCAATGTGCAGCTATCGTCACAAGGTAGTCGCAATGTTGTCAATCGCAGCTACGTAATAAATTGTGATAGAGTGTGCGATGATGATGTTTCATGATGGATGAAACTAGCTACTGATGGCTCTAAAAGCGATAGAGAACACGTACCACGGATAAAAGAGCTGAAGACTAACACCGAGTAGACACATCCTCGCGCGAAGCGGATGGCGGTTCATCCCAGTGAGCACGAGATGAATGAACGGAACTCGCCCGGCAGGCATCCCATGACAGAATGTACCAGCGCGTGTAACTGCTACTGTGCAGTTGCAACAGTACTGTGTAGCTACTGTGTAGCAAAGCTAAGACCTACGAACTGATAGGCTTGCCAAAAAATCACGGGACGAGGATATGGCTTAAAGGCTCAGAGGTGCCGTCGATCAAGGGGAAGGTGCCACCCTCGGTTCGCGCACGGCAGCTCTCAGCCGGCCAGTAAAGGCTCAGAGGGGCCGTCGATCAAGGGGAAGATGTTTCCCTCGGTTCGCGCACGGCAGCTCGCAGCCGGCCAGTAAAGGCTCAGAGGGGCCGTCGATCAAGGGGAGGGTGCCACCCACGGCCCGCCAATAGCACCTCCAAGCCGGCCGGTTTCGCAGCCCGTTATAGGAGAATGATGAAGTACTGGCACCAACAACCGCGAACCGAGCAGCGGATGTAAGTCACACATGGAATGGAATGTACATTATTGTCTACTTAAGGATGCGTTGAATAACACGCTGCCAAGAAGCCGTCAGCGACCGCCCGAATAAGACGTATGCGGCATACGTATATCAGGACTTAACGCAGTCATCAAAGCTCCGTAATACCGTGAAATCAGCCAATGGTTTCGACAGCAGCGGACGCTAGGCACAAAACATCCATCTGCTTTCTACCATACAATGGATTGACAACACGTTACGCTGGCACACTAGACGTATGCTAAGCTTTACTCACCACGCAACCCCGGCCATTCGGCTCGAATCTACAGAATCACAGCAACACCACGGCGCCGACCATCCAGGCCGGCGTGGTTCCGCCGTCCACCCACGCGCAACCGCGGCCCGCCCAGAAACCAGCACTCACCGGGACAACCCAGGGCAGGACAGCCAGCCAAGGCGGGGTACATTCACATCAAGGGGATCTGTCGCTTGAATTATGATGCGCTGCGTGATGAATGGGCAATGCTAAGGTTTCGGAGCCATGGATCGCGATGCAAAATGTTACCGACCGTGTCGCACAATCATGAGCGTCGACACACATCCCGCTGACGCGCAACTACAGCGACACAAGCTGACGTGTTAACTGAGCGAGCGGTGCGCGGCGTCGGCAGCCGTGCGTAGCACCATTGCTGATCGCTGTATGAGCGTCTGTCTCTGTGTGTGTGCATGTGTGACGAGCTGTCGTGCACTACACCTGAGATGCAAGCAAAGAGGACAGGACAGCCGAGCGAGGGTGGTGAGAGTCGTCGTCCGTACGTCAGCCGGGCGACAGGAGCGTGAAGGGGGAGGGGGAGGGGAGGGGAGGGGAGGGGAGGGGAGGGGAGGGGAGGGGGGGGGGGGGGGGGGCGGTACTCACCCATGGTTTTGGTGTCCTCCTTCAGCAGCAGCTTGTCGGAGCCGGTCAACTTGGCGTGCTGGGACGAGCTGGCCGTGCTGCAGCACGAGAGGAGACGGTCTCAGACGGCTGACCATACCGGGAGGGCGACGGCGGCCACGGCAGCCCGAGCAGCCCCCTCCCCAGCGGAGGCGATCTCAGACGGCTGACCATACCGGGAGGGTGGCGGTGACCACGGCAGCCCGAGCACCCCCCCCCCCCCCCTCCCCAGCGGAGGCGATCTCAGACGGCTGACCATACCGGGAGGGTGGCGGTGACCGGTGACCACGGCAGCCCGAGCAGCCCCCTCCCCAGCGGAGGCGATCTCAGACGGGTGACCACACCGGGAGGGTGGCGGTGACCACGGCAGCCCGAGCACCCCCCCCCCCTCCCCAGCGGAGGTGACCTCAGACGGGTGACCACACCGGGAGGGCGGCGGTGACCACGGCAGCCCGAGCAGCCTCCTCCCCAGCGGAGGCGATCTCAGACGGGTGACCACACCGGGCGGACGGCGGTGACCACGGCAGCCTAAGCAGCCCCCTCCCCTAGCACCATCATCAGGCACAGTGGAGCACGTTGCATCATGCCCAGAACAGGCGCCCACCTGGTACGTGACTGGCGCATGCTTCCACTAGATCATGCATGCCCCATACATGTGAAGGCTAGCGCATCACTTGTGTGCCATTAGTTTTACGATGCACTCAGTTGCCACAGCTATGTGGCGTCGCCTGCCCCTCACTCTGGCAGGAAAGACGGGCACCACGGGAAATCAAACCCCATACCTCTGGCTTTACAGACGCCCAGTGGTTAACGCAGACACGTTGACCACTTCACTAACCGCACCCTCCAGCCCATCACTTGAATGCTAGCTACTGGATTTGGCACGGTTCGCGAGAATGAACAGAGAGGATGACAGACGAACATACTGGGGACGTAGCCGAGCAGAGCGTGCCAGAGCGCGGCACAGCCAAACAGCGCGGAGGAGACGGGACACAGCTGAGCAAGCTGCGAACAGCGCCAACGACACTTCACTGAACAGCAGAGACTGCAGGGAGGGGAGAGAAGGGAGGGGGGGGGGGGGGGGCAACTGCACGTACCGCACGCTGGAGTACAGCACGCAGACGAACCAGATGATCAGACCGACGATGGCCTCGGCGTCGATGCCGGGCGGCTGGTGCCCGGGTGGCGTCGACCGGCCGCCCGGGATCAGGGCGCCGAAGTTGGGCTTGCAGCTAGCGTCTGCGGGGACAGCGGGGGCTCAGAGCGGCGTCACACGGGCAGGGTTGCAGCTGGTGCTGGTGTCTGCGGCGACAGCGGGGGCTCAGAGGGGCGTCACACGGGCAGGGCTTGCAGCTGGTGTCTGCGGCGACAGCGGGGGCTCAGAGGGGCGTCACACGGGCAGGGCTTGCAGCTGGCATCTGCGGCGACAGCGGGGGCTCAGAGGGGCGTCACACGGGCAGGGCTTGCAGCTGGTGCTGGCGTCTGCGGGGACAGCGGGGGCTCAGAGGGCGTCACACGGGCAGGGCTTGCAGCTAGCGTCTGCGGGACAGCGGGGGCTCAGAGCGTCACACGGGCAGGGCTTGCAGCTGGTGTCTGCGGCGACAGCGGGGGCTCAGAGGGGCGTCACACGGGCAGGGCTTGCAGCTGGTGTCTGCGGCGACAGCGGGGGCTCAGAGGGGCGTTACACGGGCAGAGGAGAGCGCTGCGCTCCAGCGAGGCTGGGGCAGATACTGAACCGCATGGAGCGGAGGCTGGCCGCTTGGGAGCTCAACAGCAGAGGAGGCCTAGCACGCCATGGGGGCTGCGTGACGTTTGTGGTATGGCTACGTTACGTTTTGTAGTGGAAAGTTCCAAATCGCTTATCACATCAACGTGGAAAAATGGTGCCCGAATCACATTGACCAAGCTTCACATAGCTGGTGTTATACTTTGATGCTAATGTAATATGCTGCTGCATTAGTGCGCGTGTTATGTCCTGTCCGCTCCTCGCGCGTGTTATGTCCTGTTCGCTCCTCGCGTGTGTTATGTCCTGTTTGCCCCTCGCGCGTATTATATCCTGTTCGCCCCTCGCGTGTATTATGTCCTGTTTGCCCCTCGCGTGTGTATGTCCTGTTCGTCCCTCGCGTGTGTATGTCCTGTTTGCCCTTCACCCCAAGGTGGTATAAACGCCGCGAAGCCAACTTCGACGCTGCCGCTTCACAGTGACAGGTGACAAACAGGCATGCTGTAGTCATTCCACACACCATCTCACACATGACAAGACGGCACAGGTTTGGAACAACGCCCCATCTCCGGACCGAGCCGAGGGTGGACCAGCCACACCCGAGCCGAGCGCGCGCCCTGCCGTCCGCCCAGCACCTACCGGGCTGGTTGGCCATGGCGCTCCAGGTGAGGTACATGGTGTAGAGGGTGACGGCGGCCGACTGCAGCAGGCCCGAGCGCGGCTGCGACTCCTGCACTTTGGGCAGCACCGACAGCGCCGACACCACCACACACAGGATCAGGTTGAAGCTGATGAAGAACTTGTGTGTGGCGCAGCCGTCCGGGCGCGTGTAGAAGGCGAAGAAGAGGCCGACGGCCGTGATGGCCAGCGCGTACTGCAGGAACGTGAAGAAGAGCAGAGCGCAGTACCAGGCCTTCGACTCGCTCTCCTCGTAACGCGACACCTGCCGGCGGAGGCGTCGGAAGGTCAGCCAGCTGGCTCTCCAGCAGGCGACAGCGCTGAAGTGGGCCCCGGCGACACCGGATGACCAGAGTCCCGGGCACGCAGTGGAACAGGATCGCTCTGGCGCCAACCTTGTGCGGCTCAGCAGGAGCCACATTCGCACGGACATCCTCCCCTGGTATTTCATCATCTGATCTATTGATTTAGTAGAAATGTACCACGAATGATTGCTTTTAAGTTCTCGTTCATGCTCGGCGACCACTGAAACATCTTGTCCGCTGCATGATGACACGCAATGCTTGACGCTTGCCATAGCCATGCGAGCTTATTTCAAGTGATAAGTATTAGTACATCACGTTTCGATGAAAAATCCAAACACCAATCTATAATTTCAAAAGTATCTACAATCAACAAACAACAAACAAGAAATATCATTTACACTAGCTTACCAAATCGTGAACAAACCTTACATATATTCAAAGACTCGATGCCTAAGAGTTCAAGAGCACAGACCACGGCCCAACCAACAAAACCCAGCATTAGATAGCGAGCAGCAAAGGAGCCGTGGCGCAGGGACTTCTGTATGAGCTCTAAAATGTGCACTGAATGAAAGGAATAGCATGACTGACAGTCTGTACATCATGGTACCTGAGCGGCATGCATAGTGCAATACTGTAAAGACAGTGATGGGCAACGACGATGTTTCAAAGTTTTGCATGACTAAATATCACATGATTTCTACCTAAGTGCTTGTGTTTCCACAATTCAACAACATATAATTGTCTTGCATTACCCACTGATATTCTAAGTTGGCTAGCGTAGCTCCTGGGGCCACCAATGTGATACATGGTACCTGTACTTGGCACCGCAAACATCCATGATATCCCCAGCAGCTGGATTAAAGGCCCGAAATTCATGCTGTCAGACTGTCATGCTGACCTCACACTGCCAGACTGTCATACTGACATACCAGACTGTCATAGCACGGTCTGGGGGAGCACTGACCCAGCTGTCTGCCCAGGAGTGGGCGAAGTCGATGATCAGCACCAGCTGGATCAGGATGAAGAGGAAGCCGCCAATCATGCCAAAGTACATCCACCAGTTGAGGCTCCCAGCTGCAAACACAGGCATGACACTGACTGATTGGGCCAAGAATTCTGCAGGCTGTTGGTGTTCTCGGCGGAATTATGCCACACAAATAAAAAAAAACACGGTGTCCAGCCATACAAGATGTCGAACAGTTGTGAACAATTATTAGGGTGGAAGTGTTCCCAAGGCAGTGAAAGCCGCCAAATGGGACGTGAATATCGCAGCCCGCTCTAGCATCGCACAGTGCCCCGTGCCCATTGGAACATCCACTCAGCCAGCTGCAGTGTTCAGATCTCTGTCCCTCTCACCTGGTATGAAGAAGGCTCCAATCATTCCGCCAATCAGCAGCAGGTACTTGATGCCCCAGAATCTGCAGCAAGAACACCCATTTATTACCTGAAAGACCTATCTACTGTCTGTATCTATATAAACAACTGAGACATCCAATGATTCGAAATAACTGCTGGCAGCCAGCATATATTGCCATCAGCTGCTGAACCGACATTACGACAACGCGCTAGGAAATAAAAAACACAAGGACAGAAATTCCCAACAGTGGACGCACCCGTTTGTACTGCTGCTCGGCCGTCCTTAGAGGATTTGACGTTGATCATCATGAGTGCCATCAGGGCGAAGAAGAGGGTGGCAATGAAGCAGACCCGGTAGACAGCCATGTAGCCGACAGCAGTGCTGCAATCCAGCTTGATGCCGTTGGGAGCGTGATCATTGCAAAAGGGCACCTGTCAACAACGTGCATGGTCTGGTACCACAAGGAAGGTGTCTTCCATGACGAATTATCTGTCGAAACTAAAGCTGGTCAGCATGAGGGTACACAGGCGATCCTGCACCTGTACAGCACAACACATGCAAGCCAGCAGCCAGAATTCCTGACATCAGCAACAACATGAACATTATTTAAACAATGGCTGTTGGTAGTGCAATGCCATGGGCCTAAGCAATACAATTATCATCTTGATGAAAGCAGATCCTGGGCTAAATTATGACATAAGGAAGCTGTGTTTAATTTCTTGCAATACAATGCCACATTTTCATAGCGGTATCTGCTGACTCTCCTCCCACCCCGGATTCTAACCCAGACATTGGTTTATTGTTCGTCTTCACGCCACACCACGTTTAGGATCTATGCTAGATTTCCCATGGATAGGGAGTTCATTCCTTGCTTACTGCTCCTACCACCAATTCTGATGTCCTCACACGATTTGCAACGCAAGGACTGAGCATGTGCTGGGCTAGGCCAAAATAGTGTCAAACATGGCAATCCATGACCGTCATATCTGTAACGAAACAAGACACATCGAACAAAGGCTAATATAGCGCGACCAACCTTCTGCATGGTATCCTGGAGGCCGGGAGCCAGCAGGATGCAGGAGAGCACGGTGACGGCCAGCAGCATCAGGGCGTACATGATGCGCGAGCTGGTGGAGTTGGCGCATGATGGGCAGGCGGAGCAGCAGAGGCTGCAGGCTGCTGAGCCGCAGCAGCACGCCAGCTGAAGAACAAACCAGTGCTGGTGAAAAGCTGTGGACCTGACAGGTGCAGACATAGAAAACAACAGCACACCACCTATTTCATTTCAGACAAGTGTACAAGATTCTTGACAAAGCTTTCATCATCCCAAGAGCTTAGATGGTGTGAGCGTCTGCCTTCCGATTCGCCCACCCCAATGGGGGAGGGGTCGCTTTAGACGCTCGATTCACCTTAGATGCTCCATTTGCCCTTGACAGGCGTGACCTGCGGCCAGTGGCAGCGGTCGCACTAAAGGTCAGGTGACGTCAGATGGAACGACGGACCATGCCAGGCATTGCAGATGCAAAACTTTCACCCCCAAATTATGCTATCAACCAGAAATTTCATGAACAGGTAATAGGGGTCTGGGCTCACACAACAAGTGCTGCTTAGCATGAGCTTTGATCACAGAAAGCCAGTCATCCAAAGGTTCTGATTTAACAATTTAAAAGGCTGGTGAGCATGGAAGAACACAGGTTGTGTATAAATCAATGTAAGGTGATTAACTCAGCATCATGACAAGGCAACAACTCAATTAGGCAACAATAGTTGACACAGAAGCATGCAAATTAGAGTGAAAATGTTAGCATTGCTTGGTGGTACTTCATCAAATTGGGCAAGCAAAACAATACAAGTTCAGTATATGTAAACTATCTGTCTTTGTCCAAGTTGGATGAATGTAACCTTTCTCTCTTTGAGCACAAGCTATATGGATGTCTGGCATGACTTGCCTCGCGCTGGCAGGTCTATAGGAAAATGGTATCCTTCTTAGCAATTTAAAACAAAGATTGGGAAGAGGGATACCAGTGGTGTAGACACTAAGATGTACATCTGGAAAACCAGGGATGTGGGATTTAAAGCCCTGCATTGCCTGCCCTTCCTGCCAAGGTAAGGGGCAGGCAATACCACATAGTCTTGGCACTAAATGTGTCATAAAAGCCCCAATGGCATATTTACGTGCAAAGCAATAGGCTTAAGAGCTTGCTAAGATCCCATTTGATACAGCACTGAAAGTATTATAAAGGACTGACAAGGTTGCACACACAAAATTTCACAGGGTGTGGACATGTTATCACCCACCAGACTCACTGTGGAATGCAGGAATGGTAGCATGGATGAGAGCTCCAAACTAACATTATGGGGATGATGCCAAAGACAAGATACTGAAGTTGGACAACTTAGCAATCTCATACAATTTGGTATGAACAGTGTGTTAGAACATCTGCCTCACATAACGCCTTTGCAAGCAGAGGTTTGCCCATGTAGCATTCATGCATGAATTTCACTAATTCCATCCTTGAAAATCAGCTGGCTGTGAGTTTGGTAAGACCTGGCCATTCCCATGAAGCAAGATGTCAAGCCATTATCAAATAAAGAAAAACAGTAATTCCAATAATTCATGCCTTTGATCAATGCATGACAAAAACTGAGAACAGTTTGGATGCATGTTGGTGACAACTGATTTACTGGGTGTTCATACATATTCATTGATTGAGTCTCATTGTCCAGGCAATTATGTCATATTCAAGATCAACAACTTCCTAGGTTAATACTTGCATATTAATGGATGAAACATCTTTGTTTAGGCCATTGTGTCACATTCCAGACCAACTTCTTCCTAGTCACATACCTCCACACTACTGGGTCAGACATCTTTGTTGAGGCCATTATGTCACATTCATGACCACCTTCTTTCTGGTCAAATACTTGCATACCAATGGGTCAGACAGTCACACCACAGTGGGATTTGTAGATGCTGAATTTGCCCATAGCTGTACAACACTGTTTTCAAAGCCTGTTCTGCTGTGGTTGCCAATATGTAACCCACAGCTCACATAGCATCAGCTCTTGCCATGGCCCAAGCTGGGTGACTAGCTTGTACTAAGAGTACAAGCATTGTGTGACTCCACATACAAACTGATACTTTTGGTAGCATGATAGTTCATTTCTCCATTAAAAATAAAGATAAAGGGAGTACTCAACTGGTGCAAAGTTTGTACCAATGATGTGTGACCTACTTAACCTGCCTCTCAAAACCAATCAGCTCTTCTTTTCCCAAACTGTTTATTATGCTTAAGTGCGAATTTCCTTCGTCAAGCCATAATGTACCCCGGCCTGCAGAGTGTCACTGCAAAACATCTGAAGCGATATGGCTGAAAGTTGGGGCATGTGAGATCACAGACCAGCATGGGGCCGGTTGGGGCATGTGAGAACACAGACCAGCATTGCATACAGGCATCACAGTTATGCTGAAAGAAGTGCTGCAATCAGTCTTTTTCACCAGATTTGGGCCATAGTCCTGTTCCTGCCTACACTCCACATGCTGTGTGGGTCAACAACAGCATAGTCTGATGATAATCTTCACAATAAATGATAAGACAATACAAATACACTACTTTAACATTACATTAAGCCCCAGCATGACAGTATTATAAGAAATTTCTCCACCAACCATGTGGCCCATGAATGAAATAAGCTGCCTAATAGAAGCCAGAAATAACTAACTCAAGTTTTTAAGATTGGGAAGCACTTAATAGAGAGATGAATGACTTATGAGCTTATTTATGAATAGAAGCTAAGAGAAACATTTGAAACAACTGAGCATTCTAAGTGAGCACCCAGTGAAGATGATTTAAATTACAACAGTACAGCCTGCAATGGGTAAGGTAGCAAAGCAAAGAGGGGCCCTCTGGCTTATTGTTGCACTTTGCCTTGTAGCTAAAGGTCTTCATGTGTACAAACCACCAGATATGCAAACCCATAGCCATGCATGTCAGCATATTTTTTCCTATTCTTATAGGAATACATTCCAGCGCCGCCGTACTAATGGTATCTGGCTGCGAGACAAAGGAAATCAATACCAGCTCCAATACTTACACACTGCATTCTACGAAATAAACCCCAAGAGTAAAGGTTTAGAACACAGCATAAACATTGTTGCAGTTCGTTTTATCAGAAAACCCTTCACGCAGCCATGGAAATGCAGACAGGCAAAGCTGAACACTTAAAGGTAGGAGTTACGCAGGTACCTACCTGCGAGGCAGTGCATATCCCAAGCACCGCACCCATGTCCTCGTCCTACGGTGGGCAGGATAACACGAGATGTGGGAAAAACCTGCAAAAACTTAAGTGGTCTCCTTTCACACCCCCCTCGGTCTCCACAACACCCGCCCTGCCGCAACGCGACGGGCTCGCGCGATGGGATATCAATCGCACCAATGTCAATGGACCAAAACAAACGACCTTGAATGATGACGCATATTAGACAAGGCTTGCCACTGTTTCAGTTGGCGTGAGCTCCACTAGAATTTTACAGCTGATTGATGGAATCTCAAATCCTGTGACCTGAGATAAGCGCCATATATATGTTTTTTTCCTAGAAAGTACCATTTTGTTCCCTTCATTTTTGGTTTAGGTATTTAAATTATTACTAAAAACACTTTTTGTAAGACATATAGGAGAAGTAATACAGAGAGCTATAAATAAATTTACAGGCAAGGATCGGTCAGCTGAAGAAGGAAGCGAAAGGCAGATCAGACAAGATTGCCTCGGGCCTCACGAGTTCAACGAAGGCGCCGGAGTAGTGCTGCGTGGGGCGGGTGGTGAGAGTGGGGGAGACAGTAATCGTACTGTCTGTGGAAAATTGTTAATCTGTGCCGGCCAATACAGGCAGTAGGTGAAGTCAGGCTTGGTTGTAACGGATCCACGTACAACAAACATTTCGTAAGAGTGCAGAGCTGTGCATTTTAGGACTTCTGAAACTAGGTTTCCTTGGGGTCTGAATATGGGGGAGCCTGCCAACAACACGCAAAATATAGCAGACTACTTAGCGCAGCTACTGAAGGATCGAAAGCAGATCACTGCATTCCCGAACGTCTTCCTGCATGTTGAAAGACTACTCGATGAAGGTGGGTTTTTGCATTGTGGGTGTTAGCCTGCGTGCCTAGTGAAGTGTCATTGTTTAATATATAATGTGCATCCATTGGATATACAAGGACGGTAAGGTATTGCATGGAAGACAAAGAAGCAGAAGTTGTACCAAATGCTTTCCAGATAATGTCAGCTGCCCCTTCACCCAGGCCTGTATCTGTCTGCTTATAGTTAGGAAACTCTGTTTTCACTAGCAGACAGGCTGCTTGTGAGATTAATTTGTTGTTTTCAAGCTCTCTGGAAAGCCTCCCACCTCAAAGTTTGGTCAGACAATGTGGAACCAAATAAATTGAATAATAGCCTGGCTAGCAGGGCCTGGGAGGACCATGGTGCTGGCCATAATGGTCCTGGCTGAAGGTTGTTAAGTGCACTTACACAGAAAGTGACTCAAGTGTCTAGGCTTGCATGCACAGGCAAATGACTGAGTCATGAAAATGGCTGAGGTTTTTTCTGGCAGGGTCAGAACAAACATGAGAAAATAACCCCACAATTTTTTTTTGTGCCAGGTGGCATGCATTTGAAAATTAAAAAAACCAAGTAGCCCTCTGGCATATCACGGTCATGGTATACATTGCACCAACACATGCCTACACCCATACCACTAACTGTCCTACTCTGGAAATCTATTAAATCTAGTAGCCCTCTGGCATACTACTGACTACCCTGCTCTGCAAGTCTGTCAACATTGACCTTGTCCCAAATTTGAAGATGGATAGTAAAGTCCCCTTACATCAAGGAAGGAGAGCACAGGAAACTCCCCAACTACTGCTCAGTCATTGTTGCCTTGATCTGCATCATCTGATGCAGTGAAGGCTCAGGGAGTCAGTCTCACATCTTGACCATGTTGTGGCATTGTTTCATACCTGATGTGTTGCATTCAAAACAGTTGTATCTACCCTGGAGGACTGGGATCCATGCATTAAGAGCAGATGATCATCAGGCTTATGTGTTTCTATTATCTGTAGTCTTTCAGCTCCATTCTGTACATGCAACATCCCTGGAGAATAATGTCAAGGTGTTGCCAGCCATCTTTAGAACTTTATTCAGCACTTTCTGACCACAAAAGGTATGGTTATGGTCAACAGGTACAAATGGAAGCAAGCTCTCTTTGATGTTAAAGTAGTACTCCATAGGGATCAAACATGGTCCCAACTTGCTTCTCTTCCCAATATTGATAAACAAATCACCTGTGTAATGGTCAGCAACAAACACTACCAGCAACATTAAGTTCTATGGCAAGGTAGCTAACCATTATGCACTGGGTCTGGCATAGTCCTACTAGTAGCCAAGTTCAAGTGGCTTTGGGAAAACAGAGCAAAAGTGACTGGAGATAAGTACTAATGTGCATTCCATCCTGATTCATGAATGTGGAGTCCAGGTTGAGCATTGTGTGGAATGGCAAAGTTTACAAAGGAACTGGGGGGTGGCAGGTTGCAGATCCCCAGAAATGTGTCAAAGTCTTCAGGTGACAAGGAAACACATATTTGCATTGCTCATGATATCCAACCCAATGCCCAGCTAATTGGAGAGGAAAGCCAGAACCAGAGGTGTCATTTTATGGTAGTTTTTGTTTGAAGTCCAAGCCAAAATCAAGGAATGGACCAGCTGTTTCAGAAAGTGTCAGAAAATTAGGGTTGTTTCCAAAATAATATAAGTGTTTTCTTAATATCACATTACTAGCCTCAGTTAATAATCCCAGTCACTACCTATGTCACTACTTTCTGTCCATCAAACCAAATGAAAAGAAAGAAAATAATTGAAGGTGAGTTATGTAAGGGAATGTGTATCACAGGCTTCTGCAAAGATGTCCACAACTGACAATGGACATTGATGTCTGCTAAGCTTGTCTTTCAGTAAACTAAGCTGCACCATGGCCACTTAGTCAGATAAGGAGTGGTAATGAATCATGAATAAGAAAGTGATGAGTGACACAGGCTCTCCTGAAGATATCAACATCTATGTTCTTTCTGTTGATGGCCTGAGTTGTGGAAACTTTGTATTGAATGTTTCAAAAAGTGGCATCTTCTAGTTACTGTATCAACAACTTATTGGTGTTCCAGAATAAACTTCTGTTTAACATGAGCAGCAGTAAACAAGTGGAGGTATGTACCACTTTGTGACACAATAGAATGATATCGCCCATCTAAAAACTTTCCAAGGCTTCTGCTCCTGTCCACCTAATTTTCAATTCGGACTTTGCGATTTTGTGCAACTCCAAAAACTTGGAATCCAGTCGGCACCTTGACTACACACAGCCAAAACGCTCCAGGCATAGGACACTTGGCTTTGGGCCGAACATGAGCCATCTCTAAGAGCGATTTGTCTATTCGAGTTGACGCCATCTTGACTGGAGACCATTGAGCGAAGTTTGTGCAGCGCGCTTATTCCTCGAACGGCTCCCGATGGCTCTATTGGAAGCGGTTCGACGACGCGTATGACGCGCGCTTGGCTCGCGAAAGACCTGCGGGAGGGAGCGTCGTCCAAATGCAACGTCTCCGCCTGCCCCGTGCAAGTTGAAGAACCTGCACCGCCAACGAGCGTACCCCCGACCCACGTGGTGTGTCGCGATACGATTGGTCAGATTCGCGAAGGCTGATGGTGGCGCCGCGGGGGACCGCCTGGGGCTGCGTGACGCGAGACCCGGCGCGACAGACGCGGTCGTCCGCGCAGCCGTGTCGCGAACAGGCTCCCCGAAGGCACCGAGGCCGAGACCCGGCGCGACAGACGCGGTCTTCCGCGCAGCCGTGTCGCGAACAGGCTCCCCGAAGGCACCGAGGCCGAGACCCGGCGCGACAGACGCGGTCGTCCGCGCAGCCGTGTCGCGAACAGGCTCCCCGAAGGCACCGAGGCGGACTGGGGCGCTGCTGAGCGCGGCGTCGCCGTCAGCGGTCCCGGCCCTGCTTCTCGTCGCCGGACCGCGCCACTGTCTCCGCCATGTCGACGAGAGCCGGAATTTGTTGTAGTGTTGGAAGTCCAGACATTGGAGTGCTGGAGCACTGGAAGCGACCGAGGCGGCCACGTGGAGTTTCGTGTGACAGCGTTTATCTCACAATGAAGCAGTGATGCATCAGCGATAAAGAGTCCAGCGAATAACTAGATCACTCGATTGTCTGCCCATTTGTTCTGGTTTGTCGTGTGATCGTGAAGAGTAATTGACCACGAAATCATACTGCACACCTTGCCTTGTGATGTAATGACCGTAAGCGATCCATGTTTTAACAGTTGTCGTATATGCCTGTCCGTTTTGTCCATTTATGACGCATATCTTGTACGCCCCGCTTGGAGAGTTGTAGGCGAGTTTTGCGGGGCCATTCAATGTGGAGCTGAATAAGAAACTTTTCAGCGCTATGTGGGCATAGGAAGGTTTATGTTTCCTAAGCTCTGCTCCAACAACATTTGTTTATACCCGGCGTTGTATGCACAAAGATGCTGCCAAGTCATTCTCAACAGACATTTGCAGGCGCGGAACTGCGACGTAAAGATTGGCAAACTGCATGGTGGACTCTGAAAGGTTTCCTGATGCGGACTCTAGTCATGAAACCCCAACCATCAAACATCGCCTCCGCCCCCCCCCCCCCCCCACACCCCATCCGCCGATGACTCAGCAAACATTTGCGAGCGATTCGACGGTAGGACATTTGTTTAAGTTTATTGACAATGGGGCAGCTCCCCCCTCCGAGTCCGCGGTAGCCAAAGCGCTGTCCTGCGAGCAATGCAAAGCAGACGGCTTTTGCATAGCTCATTTGCATATGGTGCCACCCCGGAAAGGAGCGAAACCTGGTGTCGTCACCTCACCGCGCGCCGGCCGTTCCAGAGATCGTCAAGATCCGCGGCAGCCTATTCCACATCAGTGGCAACACGAAGCAGCCGCTGGAGCTGCCCGAGCCGCAGGGCACGGTGGTCACGCTCACCGAGAAGGTGTACGTGCCGATCCGGGAGCACCCAGACGTGAGTACAGTGGCCGGCGATGGGGCCCGCCGTCGCCGGCTGCCTCGTCCGCGAGTGCGGTTTCAGGCGGTCCGTGGCTACAGGGCGGGGGTCGGACGCAGGGTTAGCTGCGGGCGGCAGCACCCCTTCCGTGCAAGTAACCGTCATAATTGGCATACATTGCTGACGTTTTTTTACGTCGTTCTGTGTGCTCAACGCTACCACGACAGAGGAGTGAGCCGCTGGTTCCACTTTACATGAAGAGTTTGTGCGCGACCACATGGCGACCATATGACGGCGAGACAACGTATCGTGCGGCCAGAGTTTGGATGACTTTTGCCAAGAGCATGGACAACCTTTTTCAACAGCAGACGATGATTAACACTTGATCCACGTGTCGGATCAGAGCATCGTCTGATTAGCGGTGGATGGCTCCCGAAATGAGGATATAATAGACTGCATTGATATGCAGCAGCGGCAGCGGTCCGTTCTGTCGTGTTTGCAGTCAGGACGGTAGACACACGCTGTCTCATTATGCACAAACCATCCATCTGTGAGCGCGTGCGTATGTCCGACACATGAAGCTGTGCGGAGACCGCCGTCTTGGCGGCGCGTCAGGTTGCCCATGTGACCTGACGCACCCACTAGCGCCGGACATGCTCCCCGCTGAGCCTACAGCACTCCGCCGCGCCGCGCGCCAACCACCTGGCGGTGACCCCGCGCGGCCGCCGGGTCGGCTTTGGCCGGCGGGCCGCCGCCGCGTGGCTCGCCCCGTCCCGTCCCGAGCCGGCCGCACGCCGCCGCCGCCGCCACCGCCACCGGGCGCTCGCACTATTTCTGGGAAGCGGCGCGCCGCCGCCCGTCAGCTGGTGCCCGCCGGCGGCGGAGGCGCGCTGGCTGAGTGCTGGCCGGGAATCTCTGCCGCTGGGATGGCGATGGGAGGTCCCGACCTCTGGAGGTCGGGCTCGCGGTGCATGCGCGGGAATGGCGCGCGCCGCCCAGCACGGCTGAGCCGTGCTGAGCCGCCGCTCGGCCTGACGGGCGGGCTTGCGCCGCGGTCTAGGCCCGGCCAGTGGTTGCCACTGGTCCGCGTCACTGCGGGATGACGTCGCGTGCAGACCTGCTGCGAGTGTGACGTCACTAAATGATGTCACCGGCGGGGCACGCGGCTCGCCGGTAATCCGGCGGTCACCGCGTGCCCCGCCCCGTCCCCCGCCGCCGGCGCTCGCCACGACCCGGCCAGCCGCAGGCCGGTGTGCGCGCGGCTGGATGCCGGGTCGGGAGGGACGGGGGGGGGGAGGGGGTGCCGGCGGATGACGTCACGGGCGCCCTGCGTCACTCGCTAGAAATAGCCGGCGGCGGGCGACGCTCAGGGGGGCCCTGCGCGTGGCTGTTGGGAAGCGGCGGGGCGCCGTTCCCGTCGACTCGGCCGGCTGGTGCGGGCGCCGGGAGACAGGGCTGGGCGTGCGCCGCTGACGGCGGCGGTGCCGGTGGGGGCCGGGCCGGTCACAGCCGCCCCGCGGTGCCGGCGGCCGGCCGCTGACGGCCGTCGCCTTCGCCGGCGCCAGATGCCGCGGCGCGAGGCGGCTCGTCGCCGGAAGCCGTCGGCGGAGGCTCGGCGTGCCGGCTGAGCGGACGGAGCCGGGACTGGGCGGGGGAACGACCACCGTGTCGTCCGTAGCGAACGTCAGGGGGGGCGGAGGCAATGCAGTGTGACAACTGCATGCCGACAACACCTGGGTGGTGGAGCGGTAGCGTTAGGGGGGGGGGGGGAAGGCAGGCAGTTTGAGGATGGATCATCCATGTAAATATGTCGACCGCTCGATCCCATCCGTGGGAACATGTTGACCACTTTCTGAACGTGGCGGCGGGGATGCGCTAGTCTCGGTGGGGTTGCACGTTAAATGTCCGGCTGGGCCACTCCTTCAGTTTGCTGTACGTTTTTGACGATGGCTTACGAATATCATGTTGGGTATGGTGTAGCTGAAACATTCTTCATGATCTTCAGCACTTGTCTTTTATGGCTAAGGGAAGCGTTGGTAACGAGGTCAGATGTTATGTAGAGAATGATAAGAGCCATGGTCATTGAAGGTTCCCGAGATTGGGTGATCGTCCGGAGCTCGCACCTCATATCTCGGCATATGTCGGTGCTGTGTTTATTATCGGGATCTGAAACGAGTGGCTCCTTCGTACCGCGTCGACATCGGTGTATTTATCTGATCCGGGAGTAGCGGGACAACCGTGCTCTGTTTCTCCTTTCCAACGCCGGAGCCGAACCAATTTTCGTCGGCAGCTGGCTCTGTGTTCTTTGGAGCAAGTGGCCTGACATGGTGACACACGGCCACTGTTCGTGGCCGGGCGCGTGCCAAGCGCTCCGGCGCACCGCTGCTCGCTCGCTCCCGGCTTGGGGAAGGCGGCCGCGACGCCGGCCGCCAGTGTTGGCTCTGGAAGCGGGACGGCCGCCCCCGCCCTCCCCTCTCCCCGCCCGCCCTTCGGGCCGCGGCTGACAGCTGATATTGATGCGCGGCAGCTGGGACGGCCCCGTTGCGCCTTCACCTGGCCGGGTGGCGGACTTCGGGAGGAGTGCCACCAGTAGAGCCGGAGGGCGGCTGGCCGCTTGGTGGACGAGAGCGGTGGAGCGGTCCGCCTCCGGGACGCCTACCACCAAGCCAACTTCCCTCGGCCTGCGGTCTGGTGTTGGCCTCCCCGCCTCCGATGTCCCACTTCGGGGCCGGGTCGCTGGCTGGGTCCCTGTCCCATCGGGACGCGGCCACTCTCGGTGACGTTCCACGCCTCTGGCGGCGCCTGTAACGATGGCCAGCGTGCCGCTGCCGAGCTCCGTGCTGCGCGTCAGACGCGGCTGCGGCGGATACCGTGACCGGACCTGTGACTGCGACCGGCCGCCGGCTGCAGCCGGGTGGTGGCGGCGGGCCTGCGCTACACGTACGCTGCCGTAGTTGTGAGACGTCACTGGGCGAGGTAGCGCCTGGGACGCCAGCGGTCAACAGCTGATCAGCTGTTAGCAGGTGGGCGCCCGTCGGCGCGTCCCTGCCGTCCAGCCCGCCCTGTGGATGTGACGAGTGTGTCGCCGCCCATCTCCACCTACGCACGCACGAACGCACGCGCAAGCACGCGCACGCACGCACGCACGCACGCACGCACGCACGCGCAAGCACGCACGCACGCATGCATGCACGCACGCACGCACGCACGCACGCACGCACGCACGCACGCACGCACGCACGCACACAGTGCGGTCGTGGGACGCGCGGGCCGTGGGGACAGGTGCTGTCGCGCCGCCGTGAGCGCCGACGGGAACCGGTGCCGCCGGCCGCCCTCCCACGCCGCTCGTGGTCCCGTGATCCGGTCACGCCGCCGCTGCCGGCCAGCCCAGACGACAGCCGGCGCGACGCTGCCGGTTTGGACTGGAGGATCGCGGAGTCGGGGGCTGGTCTGGCTTTACTTTGTCATGTTTTTTTGCTTCTTGCTATCCCAAAAATGATGCACCTCGTGGCACGTGGTGATGGCCTAGGTGTGTCGTGGTGTGTGATGGAGATGACACGCGTCGAGTAGATGAAGAATTCGTCGCTCTTGACCTTGTGCCTTTGACCATGTGTCGAATATCTCACCATGGCCTGTATCATGCGTGCATTGGCGTTCAACGTAAGCAGATAAGCCTTTACTAAAATGAACCAGATGAGTCAGGTTTCAAACGCCCAAGCGTCGATCCCGTCACTCGGTTTCGCTTGGCGCTGAAATGGTCCTCTCTATGGGAGCAACAACGGCCATTCAAACCGTTGGCAGCCTGGCAAACGACTCGCGCGCTGTTGCCACTGTCCGAAGACGTGATCCTTCAAGCAGGCATCGCGACAGCACCCGTCACGGCGGTGGCAGTCGGCGTCGCCGTGGCAGCTGTCGGCCCGATCGTGCGCTGGTCCGAGGCGGGCAGCGGCCGCCGGCTTGCCCACAGGCGCCTTTGTGCTGTTCTTCAGGCGGCGCGCGGCCGTCATCGCGACAGCAGACCCCCGCCACCAGCGCTCTCGCGGCATTGGAAGGTGCAGTTGCTAGAGCCGTGGTGGCCGCCTGGCTGAAGCCGGGACCAAAGCTGTGGCCCCTGACAGGCGACTGGGGACGGCAGCGCGGCTCTCGGTTTATCCCGGCCTTCAGTAGGTTCGAGGGCCGAACGGGGACTGGCGTCTCGGAGGCGGTGCAGAGGGACGCAAAACGGGGACTGGCGTCTCGGAGGCGGTGCAGAGGGACGCAAAACGGGACTGGCGTCTCGGAGGTGGTGCAGAGGGACGCAATACAAGCACCGTGACCATCTCAATCCCACGCACGGGAATGTCACGAATGTCGCGGTTCTGTGCTCTGACCAGCTGGCTAATGGAATGATGATCCGACGGTAATGATGATCCGATGGTATTGGTGATCCGATGGTAATGATGATCCGATGGTAGTAATGATCCAATGGTAATGGTGATCCGATGGTATTGATGGTCCGATGGTAATGAGGATCCGATGGTAGTGATGGTCCGATGGTAATGGTGATCCGATGGTAATGATGATCCGATGGTAGTAATGATCCGATAGTAATGGTGATCCGATGGTAGTGATGGTCCGATGGTAATGAGGATCCGATGGTAGTGATGGTCCGATGGTAATGCGTCGTCGACCTGGCTCCATACGCATGCTTGTTTGATACGCGCCACATTAGAAAGCATTGTGTTGCCTCTTCGTAAAATGTCTGGCGTTGTGTAGACTGGCGTTGGCACGAGCGGGGATGTCTACTTCCGATGTGATTGTTTTACAGGCAATCATCCCGCCCGACTTCTTCGGTGTCCCGGGGCGAACCCATGCCCTTGTGAGGGCGCCCTGGGACTCAGTGGGGTGGGAGCAGGGGGCGTGTCGTCCGTCAGAGAGTAGGGAGGGGGAGGGGGGGGGGGGCGCCCCTGAGAGCAAGTCGCTGAGGGTGGGAGGGAATCCAGCCTGGTGGCTCCTTGCGATATACACCTTGTACGTACCATCCCGCTCCCGTTAACATATTAGAGGCGTAGGCAGTTAGCCCATTCCGGCGTGCTTCCTTCGAGGCCGGCAGACAGTGCCCAGTCCGCAGTTGGTGAAGAGCAAAAGGGCCTCCACGAGGTGAGGTCTCCATGACCGAGATAGTCCCAACCGTTAGATCCGCCACTAGTCCTGCACTCTGTCGGCATCATGTACACGCTGATTCGAATCCAATGACCTCACGACGGGAATACCGAAAATGCACGCGAGTGAAGCGTGACTAAGTGCCAGACGTCCTGACGTGTTGTCATGAATCGTGCGAGGGATTCCTGGGTGTGTGAACGGTGCGTCGTCCGTGGTTATGTTCGGGGCTTTCCTCACACCGGTGATTGTGCATAGAAGTATAGGCAGTAGATCGTGCATGACCACTCAATTGACCCACGGAGGCGGGGTCTCTTGGGTTACACCTAAACCTCTCACCCACGACCCAAATCATGCTTTAGGATCACGCAGCCCGCCAAGGCGGTGCCGTCCAAGCTCACCTCCAACTGCGAAGCACTGTTTCACGTGGAGTGGACGGCCCGCGTGACATCTGGGTACGTTGGTGCCCTTAACAGCGACAGGCGGCGGCAGATGATCCGGGATGATGCTACAGGGACGCCCCCGTGTACCGGCAGCGGCCCGGCCATGTCCCGCGGCGCCCCTGCTCGCCTCAGGGGCCTCCGCTCGGCGTGCCTGCGGGCCTCTGCGGTCTGCAGGGCCGGGGCCTCAGTCGGCGGGCGCCGGCCCACCGCCGGCCTGCAGGCCTCTGCAGTCTGCAGGGCCGGGGACTCAGTCGGCGGGCGCCGGCCCACCGCCGGCCTGTCAAGGCCTCTGCGGGGAGAGCCTCCCCAGCCCGCTCGGTGTTGTCGGGCCGGACGGCGGCGCGTCCTCCGGCTGGCTGGCCGCCTGACGGGTGGGACGGCGGCGCGTCTCCCGGCCGCCTGACGGGCCGAGCCGCGCTGTCAGCTCCGTCGGGCCGAGCCGCGCTGTCAGCTCCGTCGGGCCGGACCGCGCTGTCAGCTCCGTCGGGTCGGGCCGCGCTGACAGCTCCGTCGGGCCGCGCCGCGCCGTCAGCTCCGTCGGGCCGAGCCGCGCTGTCAGCTCCGTCGGGCCGGGCCGCGTTGTCAGCTCCGTCGGGCCGGGCCGCGCTGTCGTCCCGCTGTGCCCAGCATGCCAGGCTGGACCCCCCGGCGCTCGCGCCGGCTTAACTAGCCGCTGAATGGGTAGGAGGTGCCGCCGGTAACGGTCTGGCACTCACTCGGGTGATGTGCTCCAGACTCGATTCCTGCTACTGATACGGCGAGCTTTAAAGATATCATGGGTATGAAACCAGCACTCTCCCTCTCCCTCTCCTAATCGTCAGCCACAGTCTCAGCAGGAATTACTGTATACTATTCCGTGAAATTTACAGGTACGATTAAATAGTCTTACTTTATCGCCATGCGCCAAAGGACAGAGCCTGCCATCCTTCAATGCTCTGCTTTCTTCTGAAGGTAGGCCATACCGAGAAACCGCTTGTTCGGCCGTCCTATATGAGACGGCGGTCCCGGCAGCGTCTCCGGACCTGATGGGGTCGGGACAGATCGGCCGGCGCTGACGAACGGTCGAGAGGCGCCGCCACTAACGGGCCGCCGCTGCGGTCACGGCTGGGGGCGTCGGGTCGGCGAAGTGGCGTGCAGCGCCGCCGCTGTCTTCTCCCCGTCTGGGGTCGTTTCTGGGGTCGGCTGCTGGTGGGAGCTGTGCGGTCAGGTGGAAACTGGCTGGAAATGTGGCCCCAGCAAATTTCGTCGGGAAGCGCGGGACGGTGAGTGGTCTTGCGATGCACGCGTCATGCCGCAACTCCTCCGAAAAACGGAGGAGTTGCGCCCCAAGTCCAGAAGCCGTAGGCGGCGTGCCCCGACCTCGTGCTGACGGCGTGGCTGAGCCATTCAGATCCGCACGATCGGATGGGGGCGGTTTCGCTCGCCCGGCTGGCGCCCGGCACTGACCTGGGTGGACTCTAGCGCAGACTGCAGAGTCGTGACTCGGTGAGCACGATGGCGGGCGATATTCGAGTCACGTCAGTGCAGCATTATCGAGCCGTATATGGCCGTCGGTGGTGATAGATTGCGCTGGATCTCGCTGGGCGCCATAAGTCGGCCATGCGACCACTTTCAACTTTGCTCTGACCCACATGGCTGTTCGGTGCGGTCATTTAGTAGTTTTGTTTTTATGTCCGCTTTTGCGTGTGTTATCGAGTTGCCGGTCAACACTAAACACAGATCCTAGAACAGGTCCGTCCTATGATCAGATTGGCCATACATCAGATGACCTCTCGTATGCTGTGGGAAGATAGTCGTGCCAGGTATAGGTCATATGGCCGCGACTCGCCAGGTCTCGAGCGTTCTCAGCTGCCGGACAGCGGACCTTGTGCTGAGGTAAAAGATCATGTGATCACAGCGATGAGGGCTCTGTCAGTGCCCAGAAGTTGGGGATGCATCATAGTTGTGATGCTTGCATGCATTCCTGCGTGATGCCATGGACCTGAGTGGTTTCAAAGCACTAGTTTTGAAACTTCAAATTGGTTGTTGCAGAATTATTTTCTCCTCGTAAAATATACGCACTGACAAATTTGCGTTCATTTTCGACATTTTAAGTGGTTGCAGACAAGCTCTACGCTTGTTCCAAGTAAGCCTCGCTGCGCTGCCGAAGCAAGACCGCACTTGCCACGCTACACCCGATGAGACATCCGCGGTGTTCATGACTGGCGACTGGTAAAAATCCGATGTGTTACAGGTGTTAATGTGGGATCATACCGATGCGCAATAAAATTATAATTCGTACAACGCTATTTACAAAACAATGCCCCAAGGCGACGGTTGCTAAAGGGCGTCAAATGTGACTGGGCGTAGAAGCAAGGGAATCATAGGCGAAACATTGCGTTCCGAGAAGTCTGGGCGGTGTCCACGCGCCTCCAGTGGTAGCGCCCGTGACAGCGAACAAGAGCCGTAGATCACTGGGCGCCAACACTGAGCATCGCTGACTGGCATCTAGGCCCTATTGACCAGCCTTCGTCACGAGGTCGCCGTCCGCAGCGCATGGCTCGTAGATCACTGGGCTGAGCTGGGCACCACTGGACCGTCATCGCCGTTGACCGATGGCGCCACGCGATGACGCTCCCCGCGCCACGCCTCACCCATGAGGCGCGGTGTCGTGCGGTTCAGACCGGCTGGCCGGGCGGCGGCGGCGTGACGGGCCGGCCGGCCGGCCGCCGCACGACCCGTGCCCATCGCTGGGACGCCGCCGGCTCGGCCCGGGCCGCGGCAGGACGGTGTTGGCTGGCCGGGCGGTGCCGGAGAAAGCCGCCGCCGATTATGGGCGGTTTCACCCGCGAGATTCATCACCATTTGTTTATCTGCCTTTCCCCGTCCATCTGTTAATTTGGCTCGCTGACTGGGCGCGTGTCGGTGGGAGGCCGCCGGCGTTGTGCGCCGCCCTCCACGGACTGGAGACCCCGTGTTTTGTTCACCGTCCTGGGCTCCGCCTAGACGCGCCTCTGCGCGTATGCGGACAGTGACAGAACGCACCCAACGCTCCCCATTGTCGACATTCCTGCCCATACACGGACCGTCGCCAGACACGCTCTCGGAACATGACAGCCTGTGCGTTCCCGTTGGGGCTCGCACTGCGACGTGACCGGCGCGCAACCCGGCCCACTTTCCTGTCGGCTCGTGGAAACAGAACGTTAGCGCCTCGGCCGTCCCCCGCCCATGGCCATGTTCGGACTGCGGCGAGTCCGCCGTGACACAGACCGGTCTGCCGCCGCTGTGTCCGTACACGGTCGGTGGTGGACACTTTCCTGGACACGTCCGGCCGTCCGTCTGCCCGTCCGCCCTCGCGCCGCCTCGTGCTGATGTGTGTCGCCGTTGCAGTTCAACTTCGTGGGTCGGATCCTGGGGCCGCGCGGCATGACAGCCAAGCAGCTGGAGCAGGAGACGGGCTGCAAGATCATGGTGCGCGGCAGGGGCTCCATGCGAGACAAGAAGAAGGTGAGTCGAGCCAGCCGCCGCCGCCGCCGCCGCCACCGCCCGCCAAACCGGTCCGCGCTGGCATTACCATATCGCGGCGATCGCCGCCGCGTGAGACGCCTGCAGAGCGTCCGGAGGCCCCGCTCGGGGCTCAGCCGGCCCGGCTGCGGGGCGGACAGGGGCTGCTGCGGGGTGAACAGGGGCTGTTGCGGGGCGGACAGGAGCTGCTGCGGGGCGGACAGGAGCTGGTGCGGGGCGGACAGGGGCTGCTGTGGGATGGACAGGGGCTGCTGCGGGGTAGACAGGGGCTGCTTGCGTGGGGCGGACAGGGGACTGCTGCGGGGCGGACATGGGGCTGCTGCGGGGCGGACAGGGACTGCTGCGGGGCGGACAGGGGCTGCTGTGGGATGGACAGGGACTGCTGCGTGATGGACAGGGGCTGCTGCGGGGTGGACAGGGGCTGCTGCGAGACGGACAGGGACTGCTGCGGGGGGGACAGGGGCTGCTATGGGATGGACAGGGACTGCTGCGTGATGGACAGGGGGCTTGCTGCGGGGGGGACAGGGGCTGCTGCGGGGCGGACAGGGGCTGTTGTGCGGTGGACAGGAGCTGCTGCGGGGTGGTCAGGGGGCTGCTGCGGGGCAGACAAGGCTGACAGTGGCTACTGGTCTAAGATTGACAGGGCTGTTGCCGGGTTGACAGGGGCTGCAAGGATTGCAGACCAGGCCTTGCCAGGGGTTACTGCGCGGGCCGGCGAACTGCGAGCGAGGCTGACTGGGAAGGGCAGCGTCTGTTGACGGGGGGGGGGGGGGGGAGGGGTGAATCACCGCCTGCTGCGGCGGTCGGACAGGACAGGAGGCTTGGGGTGGATGGGTGTAATGGTGTTTCCGGTCGAGGTGTGCGTGTTTTATTGGTGCTATGAGCGGCGCGGTCACTGACCGTCGATCGGCCAGCTCCCGTGCCGGCTGCGCCGAGAGAACGGGCCGAGGTGAGCTCAGGTGTGAGGTTGGGTTCGTTTCTGGCATCCGAAATGGTTGGTCGCTGCCAAACAGTTTTATTACATTGCGCGGTGCGTTTCAGCCTGCAAGTGGAAGCACAACTTTCAACTACGTACCGATGGGTTCCTACGCACATTACTGCAAAGTCACCATCATACGATTTACATGAACTTCATGAATGCGCCCATGTACGTTTACGATTTGCGTGTGCGCTTGAGCACTACGAGACGACTCCTTTCCGATGATTGAGTACGTTGCTTACACGTTTGAAAGCTGACCAGGAGCTTGTCCGCTGCGGGTAGTGATAATGTTGGTTTAGCGTCTTGAGTAACAATGAAGTGAGTGTCACTAACGCCGAAGCCGCATTTCGGTTTGCTGATGTTATTTGTCGGTTTCCTGGTAGTGTTCCTTTTCATGGCACATTGCCCGGTTTACCATCGCTTTCTTGTTATGTCATTGCCACAAGATACCAGGTGCAACAAGAAAAAGAGCTGCATCGGGCTTCGTGCATCCATGATGCTCATTTTTCGTTTTTTTCCTTGAATTGCCTGGTATTCTCATTCTGTTGCATTCCCAGTGACAGAAATTCTACCGAACACTGTCATTGCCTCTGCTCAACTTCGCTGACGTTCTTTGTACGCCACCATCAATCCAGTCGCGTTTCCAACGCGCGGTTTCGCAACGAATTCGTGCCCGTTGGTGATAACGTGTATTGCCAGCCAGTTACTGCGAACTGGGCGAACAGAAAAACAAAGTCGAGTGAATGGCGTGCGGTAGGACTAGTCGTGAATTTATCCCGAGCTCGGCCGGTCAGATGCGCCGGGCCGTCGGGGAGCTGCGGCGCCGCGTCAGCTCGTGGCGCGGTGTTCGCGGTGGCGGGCCAGCGCGCCAGGCGCCGGGCGCCGGGCGCCGGGCTCCGTCCGGCGTGAGCAGCATTCGTCACCGTCGCGCCGGTGTCGTGACCGGGCTGCTAAGAGAGCCGGCTGCCCTTTGTTGGCCGGCCGCCTTTCGCGAGACGCCGCGGAGGCTGGCGAGGCGGTGGGCGGAGTGGGGAGAAGAGGGGCTGGGGTCGGGGCAGGCGAGTGCTGCAATCAGGAATGGGGTGGGCAGGAAGGTGTTTTAGTTGGGAAAAATAAAGCCGGAAGAGGGGGTACCTGGACTCGGTGGAGGGGAGACGAGTGCCGGGAGACGGCAATGCCGGAGGCGGGGCGGGGAGGCCTCGTGAAAAATTACCGGCGTCGTCCATCATCCTTGTCCTGTTTGTGATGGATGTCGCTCGCCTCTGGCCTCGATCGGGTCTCGATTTTAGAGGCGGATGTGGCTGGGAGGTGCTGTGGGGCGGCCCGTGGTTAACTTTGTTCGCCCGGCCAACCCCGACCATGTCCGGAATATCCAACACCTGCGAGATGATGTCCGGGCGCTAAGCTTTTGCGGTCGCGGCATTCTGACTCCAACATCTCTTCTGGCTTTGATATGGTGCTGTGGTTTGGTGTAATCATGGGCTGGGCTCCACTCAGCGGCCGGTCAGATCCGGCGCCATCGTCGGCCGCTCGAAATGAGCGGGCGAACCAGCGCAGCGTGGCTTGGAGCCTCCGCCTGCGCACCGCGTACGCCGTCGCGAGCGGGGCTATTTCTGCGCTCGGGGCTCGTCCCGCGCCGCCGCCGCCGCCGCCGCCGCCGCCGCCGCCGCTGGGAGGTCGCCGCCTCGTCTGTGACTCAGCTGGGCGCGGTCGATCGGCGCTGCTCGCCGCCCCAGCGGCTGGTCGGCTCGTCAGCCGCCCTCCTGTGGCCGCCGCCCCGCCCGCCGGGCTGGAGCATGACCCGGCGGCCGGCGAGAGCAGCGCCCCGCACCGCCGCCGGCCGGTCCCTCGCGCCGGACCGCGCCGCTCTGCCGCGCCGGCGACGACCGCGAGCTATCTCGGCCAACGGGTTGGTCTGTGCGCCGCTTAATGGTGATTGCGGAGTAATTGAGCGGCGTCAGGCAGGCCGGCTGGCGTGGGTGGCGTGCTGCAGTGGCAGGGGTCAGCGGCCGGCGCCGCCCCTGGCGTCGGGCTGAGGGCTGCGACCGGTGCCGATCCGCGCCTCAGATCGCCGATTGGGGTGGGCGCGGCGCGGCGTGCCGTTGGGTTTGGCTGGTGACCCGGCCGGCTGGGCGGCGTCGACCAGTCCCCAGCGGTGGGCGCCGGACCGGTGCCGAGACCCGCCGGACGGGCCTGGCGCTGGAATTCCCACTGACCATGGCTGAGAAGGGAGGCCAGAGTAGTCTGGACGGGTGCGCTCCTGGTATTAACCCAGCACCCACCCCCGAGTACGATTTACGGAGAACGCGGTAGCTGCGATTCTGTCGTGACTACGTGCAGAACGGGATGAGGCGTCTGTGAAATACAGATGGGGCTGCCTGACCTAAATACCTGTCGGGCCTGATAAACTTATAAAGAATGTGCTACCGAGATAAACGGCTGTTGTGCCCGAACCATGTTTTTGACTGTTATAGCTCCAGTTTTTGTAGCACCAGCTGTCTTGAGCACTTTCTGCCACACATGTGTTGTCTGGCAATGGCTTATTTCCGTTGTAAATCGCCATCAATAAAGCAGGAATTAACCCGCTCCACCTCGCAGACGACAGCTTATAGCCTTCTAACGTAACCACAGACCACCTTGTTACCACGTGTCCCGGCGGGGGCTGTTCGTGTTCACGTCCCATCCCGGGCAAGCAGGCCTGGAAAAACAGCCCAGACTGTCGAGTCGCTGCCTGATTATGTCGTGTTTTGTTCCATGCAGCCTTATTAAACTGAGGAGGAACAGGTAAGTTGTCCAGGTTGAGGGGTAGTTTGGTTTGGCGTCGGGAAAGAAGGCTAAGGATAATTCGGTATTCGTGTGCTCTTTACCACTTTGTAACCTGTTGCTGTGGGCTGTTGATGTCTAAATGGGTCGACAATATGTCATTGATCTTCCCAAGTCTGCATGCTAACGACTTGGCTGGAACTGAAGTGTTTTCCGCCTCATCTACTCCCGTCTGTTTGTTGCGAACGGTACAGACATCGGGTCGTTAGACCTTGCTGTATCTGAGTGACGCGCATCAGAGTTCTGCCAGTGCGCCGGCCTACAGCTGGTTGTGGTGGGGGAGGGGGGGGGGGGGGGGGGAGCGGGTGCTGGAAGACGGTGGCTGGGTATGGTGCCGCCGCGGTGGGCTAGCTCTGCGTGTGATGACGTCAGGCGACCCCCGGCTATTTGCGGCTCGGGTGATCGCCAGATTTTGCGATTCGCCATCGATAGCGCTGGATCGTTGCGTGGCAGGTTTTTATTGATGTGTCAACATGTGGCGGGTAGCTGCGCGCCGGGGGCTATTTGGCACGGGAGATGTTCAGATCGAGGCGATTTCACTGGCACGTAAAACTGGCGCCGTGCCTAACGATCCTCGTATGCCCCCCCCCCCCCCCCTTCACCCCGTTCCTCCACCATTCCGCCGCTTTGGTGTGCTGGCTGCTTGGGTGTGTGTTTGCGTTTTGGTGTGATCAAAACAGGGAATTGATATAATCTTACCTTGAAGTACGGCCCCAGTCTCGGAGAAAAACGAAACGACCAAAAACGGTCATTCACCTTGCGGCGGAGAAAATACACATTTGACTAAAAACATGAAATTACAACTCACTTGGTCACATCTGAGGATTTGACGTAATCCGCACGCTAGCGGTATCACGGCATCTGTGTCACGATATCAGACTCGGTATCGAGCAGGCGGGCGATGTTCCGTTGCAGACCCGACCCCTGATGTTAGCAGTCTGGGAATACCCCTTGTCCGAGCGGCGGTCGGTGTCAGCTGGCTGAGGCAGGCCGCAAACGTGTGGCCGAGAGGACACGTTCAATTATGATCAAGCAGCAATGTTAACATTAACTGTTAAAAAACTGGGGCTTCAAAAACTAGGGGCTTGAGTTTTCTTAGAATTGGTATCTGAGCAACAGGCGTGAGCAGTTGCGTCATATCCTGATTTATTGCACATTTTCGTATGTGCCAGTTCGCTTTAAAAAAAATCGGCACGGGAATGTGCCGAGTTTTGCTTTAGCATGAGCCCTACTGGAGCTGACTAAGCCATGCGATCTTTTTTTGGCATTGACTTTACCCATAGCGTTGCGGCGAAGAACGTTATTTCTGATCTTTGGTTTTGTTGGGGGAGGGGGCATGAGCGGTCTCCTTTAATCACAATTTTTGGTTCTTTGGAGGATAAGAAAGGTGGGCAAACTTCTGAGCCAGTTTGAGCTGAGCGGGCTGTATATCATGATCAGTACCTCACTGGCGGTTGAGGAGATTTCTGTGCGAACTACGCTCACGGTCTCCGTTCCCTGACCACCGTAACTGGACCCGCAGGACATTAAATGTTATTCCACCTAAGACCTCGTTAACGATTCATCCGTGGCGCTCGGAGTCCTTTTATAAAAACCCATCTTTCAATTTAATGCTCGGTTCTAAATCGCTGATTGATGGCAATGTTGGCTTTCGCGCATTTTAAACAACGTCCGGGCCTGTCACGTTGTGATGGTTGAACACACATCAAACGAAACATGTTATTTGCCCGGTAGTTTGGAAACACCTTGCAATGTTTTTCGGCGTGTTAAATCCGACAAGATTCGCAAACTAGTCGCATCGGCCAGTCCTTCAGCGATGGAACAGCCGGGGAAGTGTAAAAGGGCGGTCCAACCGACCGCCAGGCGGCGCTTGTTATGATTGTCGCGTATGCCCAGACACATTTTACGCAAGGGCAGCCACTGAAGCGGGAATAAAACGGGAGTTGGCAGCGGGTGGCGGCCGGCTTGGCCTGCGGCGCTCACGCAGCTGCCAGGATGGCGGCCGCCGGCCAGCCGGGACTTCACAGCCCGCCGGCGCCGGCGCCCGGCGACCGCCGCCGCGTGGCGCGACCGGCGACACCGGCGGCGCAGTGACGACGCCGGCGTCGGCCGCGGCCGGAGAACGGCCGTGACGAGCCGGCTGACGAGTTACGGCCGCTTGAGTTGGCCGCTGCCGTTGCCGCCGGGCCATCGAGGCGCCTCAGGACGACCAGGGCGGAGGGGGGCGATAACGGTCTGAGCGAGCGAGCATACGGTGTCGCAGCTGGAGCGTGTACCGTCACCGCCGCCCTGGGCCCGCAGGAGGAGCTGAACCGCGGCAAGCAGAACTGGGAGCACCTAAGCGACGACCTGCACGTGCTCATCACGGTCGAGGACTCGGAGAACCGGGCCGCCGCCAAGATCCAGCGCGCTGTCGACGAGATCAAGAAGCTGCTGGTGCCCTCTGTGAGTGTCCGGCGCCGCGGCACGGCCGCCCGTGTAGCTGCGTACGCGCGTGCGTCACGCACGTGCGCTTAGAAAGTGGCGTTAGGTGCTAGCACTGGACAATGACGGCTTGTGTGTCTTGATGGCGCTGTCACAAACTCCCTCATCTCTTATGCGGGCGTGTTGACTCCCTGGCACCAGGCAGTCGCGCCTTGTTTACTGTACGCTCGCTGCGCTGTCGCCGCTCCCATCACTCATGAGGTGGTTGTCGGTGGTTTCCCATCGTCGACTCGGGGCTTGTCGCCTTTCCCACCTGGAGCTGACCTCGTGGGATGCGTGGGACCTCCGGTTCCTGTCCAGTCCATGCCCAATGTCGGTTGGTCGGTCTGATTTGACAGGTGCTGCCCGCTGGCTGCTTCTAATCCCTGTAAGCCTGCTGCGGGTGACGAGCGCACCCGCACTGTGCTGTGATCAGCACTCTGCTCGGGTGCTCGTGTCCGTCTGCGACCGCCGCCGCCCTAGTGACCCCGTCGGGACGTTAGCTTCCCATTGTCCTCCGTGGTCGGCGGCCCCTCGCCAGGCTCTGGGTCACACCGGAGAAGCTCGGGGAGTTCCACTCCGGTTTGAGCCACCTCACCAACCGGCGGCGGCCCAGCCAACGACGCACCGCTGCTCGATCAGGCCGTGGTGCGACACGCCGCGACCGGTCGCGTACCGGTCGCGTCGGCCCGCGGCTGGACAGGCGGCCGGCCGAGGGCGGCTCGGTAGCTGGTACAATCCCCGCCCTGGTGGGCTGGGGCCGACGCATCTGTGCCGGTCGGCGCTGTGTCGGCGGCCCATCTCCTGCCGCCGTCACCCCAGCCACTCAGGAGTGTTGTGACGCTTCAGGAGAGCTGGTGCTGTCAACTTCCAGGCTGTGCATACATTTGGTTATAACTATTTTTCCACTCGTCTCAAGATATGAGTTATCATGGTCTATTGCATCCAAAACGAAGCAAACGCAGGGCTTTCCGTGGCGTCGGGTCGCTGAGTGTCTTGCGCAGTACACGTGGTGCCGAGCCGCTAAAATGGCCTCAGCCTCTGGGTTTACTCGGTCTGACCTAGTCGCGACCTGGCCGAAACACCATCTCATCGTCCGTCCTCATTGCAAGGTGTACTGGTTACGCAAGACCGGCCGGGCGCGGCGTGGGTTCCGGCGCCGGTTTGCCCCGCCCCGCCTCGTCCAGCTCCCAGCACTGACTCAGCAGATGTCGACTGTGGTAGACTCGCCGGCCGGTGCGCCCTGGACTCAGCCGAGCCTGGCTTGACCGGGCGGAGTCACCGGCACCGGGGACGGCGTAGGACTGTCCTCTCTCTGTCTCTGTCTCTGTCTCTGTCTCTGTCTCTGTCTCTGTCTCTGTCTCTGTCTCTGTCTCTGTCTCTGTCTCTGTCTCTGTCTCTGTCTCTGTCTCTGTCTCTGTCTCTGTCTCTGGCTCTGTCTCGTCTCTGTCTCTGGTCTCTGTCCTCTGTCTCTGTCTCTGTCTCTGTCGCTGTCTCTGTCCTCTCTGTCTCTGTCTCTGTCCTCTGTCTCTTCTCTGTCTCTGTCTCTGTCTCTGTCTCTGTCTCTGTCTCTGTCTCTGTCTCTTCTCTGTCTCTGTCCTCTGTCTCTGTCTCTGTCTCTGTCTCTGTCTCTGTCCTCTGTCTCGGTCTCTGCTCGTCTCTGTCTCTGTCTCGGTCTCTGTCTCTGTCTCTGTCTCTGTCTCTGTCTCTGTCGCTCTGGCTCTGTCTCTGTCTCTCTGTCCTCTGTCTCTGTCTTCTGTCTCTGTCTCTGCTCTGTCTCGTCTCTGTCTCTGTCTCTGTCTCTTTCCTGTCTCTGTCTCTGTCTCTGTCTCTGTCTCTGTCTCTGTCTCTGTCTGTCTCTGTCTCTGTCTCTGTCTCTGTCTCTGTCTCTGTCTCTGTCTCTGGCTCTGTCTCTGTCTCTGTCTCTGTCTCTGTCTCTGTCTCTGTCTCTGTCCTCTGTCTCTGTCCTGTTCTCTGTCTCTGTCTCTGTCTCTGTCTCTGTCTCTGTCCTCTGTCTCGTGGTCTCTGTCTCTGTCTCTGTCTCTGTCTCTCTTGTCTCTGTCTCTGTCTCTGTCCTCGTCTCTTCTCTCTCTCTCTCTCTCTCTCTCTCTCTCCTCTCCCTCTCTCTCTCGTCTCTCTCTTCTCCTCTCTCTCTCCCTCTCTCTCTCTCTCTCTCTCTCTCTCCCTCTCTCTCTCATCCTCCTCTCTCTCTCTCTCTCTCTCTCTCTCCTCTCTCTCCTTTCTCTCTCTCTCTCTCTCTCTCTCTCCCGCCGCCTGTCGCCATCTTGTTCCCGTCTGCCCGGTGCCTCCCCTCCCCCTGCCGGTGTTCTCCATGCCTGCGTGTGTCAGCCGCGTCCCGGCGTTCTGCCGCCTGGGGCTGCGCCGCCGCCGCCCTGGGTGACCGTGCCTCTGCCGCCGCCCAGACACGACCCGGCCGGCACCGCTCTGTTTGTTTACCGCCGCCCCGGATAGCGGCGCCTCGCCCTGCCCCAGCGGCGCCCGCTCGTCCGGCCCGGCCCGCGTCTCTCCTCTCCGCACGCTCGGGCCGGTGCCGCCTGCGCCGTCCCGCCGTCCGGCGCCGACTCTCCAGTGCCACCGCTCCCTTCGGTGTCGTCCGTTATGCCGTTTTTTGCTGGTTTCGTTCTCGGTGGTTGCCTCCGCTGTTGTTCTGTTCGTGCTTGCCTTGGCCTGCCGTTTCGGTCGTGTTGGTCGGATGTAGTCGCCCCACGGGGCCGACGGATTGGTTGGTCGAATGTAATCGCCCCGCCGGACCGACGGATGGGTTGGTCGGATGTAATCGCCCCGCCGGACCGACGGATGGGCTGCCCGACCGCGCCTCGAGGAGTGGTCGGTTCGTCGCCATGTGGAGCTGCCGTGCCTCGCCTCCAAACCGGTTCGGGGCATCGGGCCCGGTCCGGTCCCGTTGCCGTCGTGCAGCTGCCCTGAAGGTCGCGCGCCTCAGCTCGCGACCGGGTAGTGACGGTCCTCGTCCCGGGCCTGCCCGGCTGCCTGTCTGATGTCCGGTCGGTCGACGTGAGCAAGATCGCACCTATGCTATGTGAATTTCGGCGTGTGGGAGCTGGTTTGATTTTCGTTGTTCGCGTGTCGCAGGCATCTGGTGGCTGTGACTGATTTGTGTTCGAGTTTTTGATATATTTTGCTCCTTTCGTGGATTTAGTTGATGGTCGGCATGTTTCGGATAGACCATATGCATACCTGGCGCCAGGTTTCATCTGCGGGAGGATTAGCCGGATGGGTGGTGTCCTTACATGGAAGCGTAACATTCCTGTGTGACGCGGTACCACGTGGCGTGAGGCATGGCGTGGTTTGGACCGTACTTGGTAAAGCCCTTGATGGGGTGCCGCCGCTCGGAGCTCTGGGCCGCTCCTTGTGGCTGTACTTGACAATGTGGCGCAATGGCCGCCCACGGTCGCAGTGGCGGCTGTCGTAATTGCGGTGTGTTTATGTATCTGGCATGACCGGCCTATATTCGTGACGCGGCCTGTGCCGAGAAAACGAGCTATCCTAGACGCTGCTGCCGACCGTCCGGCCGCAACCCGCCTTTGATTCACCTGACCTGGCTTGACCGGCAGGCGGACGGCGAGGACGAACTGAAGAAGCGGCAACTGATGGAACTGGCCATCATCAACGGCACCTACCGGGACTCGAGCAGTGAGTAGACGGCACGGACGGGCGGCGCGGCTGGCCGGCCGGCCGTCTCTGGCGCCCAGGTCACGACCATGTCCTGGGTACCTGTGTCACCGACAGGTCGCAGCGCACGCAGGTCCCCGGTCGTGGCCAGCAGCGAGTATTACGCTCGCCGATACGGCGGCGGAGAAGTGGTGGTGAGATCGGGTGGCAGTGCGATCGAGCGGCATGGAAGGAAGGCGTGACGTTGGCCTTCCTGCCCCGGGACTGGCACGAGGGCGTCAGCCGAGCGGCCGCACGTCAAACACGTCATGCCAGTCTGTATCTCAGCCTGACTCTGCCTGCTGCGCCTGTCGCGATGCATAACCGGCCTACCGTGAAGCCGGCGTCGCGCCCGCGGGAGATCTTGCGAACGGCGACGTGTCGCCACCTGCTGGCCGGTCGGCAGTTAACAGTTCCATGAAAGGCCACCAGATGTCGCGAACGGATACACTATTTGGGTTTTCGGCCAGTTTGACTACGGTGTCCGGCCCCTCCATAACGCCGCGTTGAGTGCTTCCGGCTTAGTCGTGATTGACGCCAGATGTCTCCGCTGGGGCCGCGCCAGCAGGCCATGACTCCGGCGTCTCGCTGGAGTCGCATGACTCCGGCATCCCGCCGCAGCCTTATCACCGCGGTGTCGCCCTGTTTTCAGAGCCGAGCCACGAGGCGATGAGCGTGGCTGGGGGTATGGCAGGCTCGTCAGGTAACGGTGCCGTGAGCTGTGCGCCCCTAGACCCAGCACCCGCCCTCGCGCCGCCGCCAGCGCGGTCGGTGGCTCGCTGCAGCCATTGCATTAGGCAAAGCGTAGTTGCATGTTTTGCCGCCGGTGAATGGCAGACTGTCAGGCGGTAGGTGGCAGATGGTGCGTCTTTACATGTGACGTAGCGGTATCATCAGGCTCTCACTCTCGCTGTAAGTTAGATTAACCAAGCGTCTTCCATATATTTTTGCCCATAACGTAGCGTTTGCAGCGGGTTGAGACAATTCTGCTGTGGCGGGTGGAAGAGTGGAGAAAATCGGTAAAGCGTGTTGGTGTGTAGCGCGTAGCTTCGCACGCTTTGTCCACGCGGTTTGTTTGTACGTATGTCGACGTTAAAAGGGCATTTTCATCAGAAAGCACGTATGGAAGCTTTTTCGCGTTCCTTCATGAGCTGTCGGAAGGCGCGTCGTGGTTTTGACAAGCTTATGAACTGAGTGGGCAGGGTGGACTGTGGAATATAGGCGGAGGAGCTGAATGGACTGAGGAAGATCAGCGGAGTGGGCTGGGTGGGCTGAGGAATATCAGCGGAGTGGGCTGGGTGGACTGAGGAATATCAGCGGAGTGGGCTGGGTGGACTGAGGAATATCAGCGGAGTGGGCTGGGTGGACTGAGGAATATCAGCGGAGTGGGCTGGGTGGACTGAGGAAGATCAGCTAAAGTGGGATGGGTGGACTGAGAAAGATCAGCGGAGTGGGCTGGGTGGACTGAGGAATATCAGCGGAGTGGGCTGGGTGGACTGAGGAATATCAGCGGAGTGGGCTGGGTGGACTGAGGAATATCAGCGGAGTGGGCTGGGCGGACTGAGGAGTAGCGGCCAGGCTTAACACTGCAGCTGGTATTCCTTTTAAATTCTTCCGCACGTGGCATTGTGGTCCTCGTTGTTTTCATGCTGTTCGCTCGGGGAAACGCATCAAAACAGGGACGATGTGGTAATGCATTACTGCGGAAGAAATTAAGTCTCCCGTATTTCGTAGCTAGGTTCGTAAAGTGGCTCCGAAAACATTTGCGCCTTTGTAATTTTACGGGCGACGCTCAATGGAAATGCAAACTGGCACTGGACCCATTGTGCATGCGACGTTTGATCCAGTGTTTACGGGAATAGCCTAAACGCTTTTACGCTTCTGTGTTCACGGAAACCGAGGTGTCAAGCGCTGGTTTTCTATGCAAAGGCAATGTAATGTCCAAATTTGCGGGAAAAACTCTGAACTTCTGCCTTCGGGCTCAAAAGTGTCTGCCTTCAGGCGTTAATGTGGGTCGCTCTCCTTGCCATTCCGTGGGCGAATGTCGCGACGGAGTGACCTAAGATTTGGACACCTTTGGGTCACTGAGGAGTGGGACCATTGGACCGCGTGGACTGGACCGGTGACGATTGGCCGGACGCTGGAACCGCGCCCCCTTGGCTGGGATTAACACACCGCTCCGTTTGACGTGACTGATTACGCAGCCGGCCAGGTCAGCCCGTGTCGGACTACCGTGACCCGACCTGATGGTGACGCTGTACGGCGCCCCCTGCTCGTGGCCGGTCCCGGAATGTACCTGGCTCTGGCTCTGATGACCTATGCTAACGACCAGTGCTGACCCGCAGGCGAAGCAGCTCTCGTTTGCAGCTGACACTGATGATCTTTGCTTACCGTGGTGGCCTCTGGTGACCTGTGTGACCCCCAGGCTAATCTGTCCTGTCTTCAGCTGGTTTTGGTTACCTTCACTGATCCTGATAACATATTCCGACCCCGGTGGCTCACGCTGGCCCGGATGCCCCGCGTCTGACCCCGGCGACCCGCGCCGCCCGCAGGTGACGCCGGCCCGCGGCTGCAGCTGACCCAGATGGCCGGTCTGGGCGGCCTGATGACCACGCACATCCGCACGCCGGCCACGCTGGGCGCGCCGCTGATGCTGTCGCCGCGCATGGCGGCCGGCACAGCGCTCATCAACTCGGGCCCGCCGCCGCTCATCAGCCCCGGCGATGCCGGCCTGCTCTACGCCCAGTACGCGCCCGACTACGCCGCCCAGTACGCGGCGCAGCTGGCCCAGGCGCAGGCGCAGGCGCAGGCTCAGCCGCTGCAGCTGGCCGACTATGCGGCGGACCTGACCGGTGGGTTCTTCGCGCGGTGAGGCCGGCCGGCCGGCGGCGCCGGCGCGGCGGTGCTGCGGGAGGGGGGGGGGGGGCATCGGGAGGGGCGGGATGGGGCGCTGGAGCTGGCGCGTGCTTGTGGCGTCCGTCCGTCCGGGATGTGCTAGGCTGTGCCGTCCGCGTGTGTCGCGGCTGGTGGGCGTAGAGCGCTTGCAGGCGTAGACTGGTTAAGTTGGCTGGCCTGCGTTACGAGTCTCCCCGAGCGAAATCCGTTGAACGCCCGAGTCAAGCACGTGGTTGTGTCGACCATGTCGGTACAAGTCATTTATCACGTAACGCACGGAATTGTAGCGAGTCGTGTGAAAGCTTGTTCCGCGCGTCGTGGCTTATTTCGAACTATTGCCGAGCATCGAATGGCACACATGGCACAATGGTTTTGTCAGGGCCCGTTCTGATCCGAGGGACGAGTTATGCTGATCGTGGCGGAGGTCGTGCCTCCGCCTGTGCCGCGCCATTAAGATCTGGCTCGTCTGGACAGATCCGGCCCAGTTGTTTTGCCCGGTTTGCCTCGTTCTCACCATGATGATGACCGACCGGTTGTTTGACGACCCAGGCCAGTTCATAAGCGGCCAGTTCACTTTACTCGGCCGCCGTCGTTTTGTACGCGGATGTGTCATGTAGAAGCCGCCCAAGTGCATTTGTACAGGAATTAAGCAGTCGTCCTCCAGCGAAATGCCTTGCTTAGATTGGAGATATATGACGCTGTTGGAGTTGAAAGATTGATTTCATACTTTTTCAAACTGAGGGGCGATTTTCCGCTAGATGACACTGTCTAGTCAGTGTTGTCGTGTGCGTTTGTTTGTGCGCCGGGAGAAATATGAGGGATTCCGCAGTTGCCGCTAGATCGTGTTGTGCCTCGGATGTGCTTGTGTCCTGCGAAGCTGCCCACCACGCGTCCTCGTTGGGGTCCGTGCTGATCGCCTACGCTCCGTCACTGTCGTCTCGCTGCCTTGTTCCGGTGAAACGGCTCCCGTTGCGTGCCCTGTGGGGATGTAGATTGTGTACCTTTCCACCTGGTCTGCGTTATTTTGCACCCGAATTTAAGGCTAAGACAAAAACAGTTCAGTAATATTTCTGGGAGTTTTGCGCTTTTCTGGAACTGGCGACGCGCTTTTCGCTCCAGTTGCGTTCCAGTTGGAGAGATGTGTCAGGATTTGTCTTCTTGTCAGTCAAAAAGTACGATAATGCGAATGATACTATCCGGCGTGAAGTTTCAGACAGCTCATGGACCGTGGTGAATTGCTCTAGTCGTCTTACAGCCCAGATGAATTTCGTCTTTTTTGTGTCTCAATGGGCCGATACCCACTTCATGGGTTATACTAAGCACATGGCGCCAGCCGAGGGACCTGCGAGGCAGCTGCGTGTCCCATGTCTCCTGGCAGCGTTGATCGCCGACGTGTGTGTCTGCCGCGCCTTGTGGTGGGGCCTGTTTGTGGCAGGGCCTGAATCTGGGCGCTCGAACACACGGGTCTGGTGATGTGCCGCCTTTGGCCTTGTGATGTCTGGGTTCTTCCCAAGCGCCGCCCTGCCCGGTGCCATAGGACATGCGCCATCCGGTGAAGCTCACCCAGGCGCGTCCTGCTGAGTACACTCGGGAGGCCTGTCCCGCCCTGTGATCCTGTGAGCTCTACTGAAGCGCTGTCCTCCCCGGTGTCTGCTCTGGAACCTGTGTTGTGTGGGAGAGCGCTTCCCGGGCTCCCCTTTGTCTGCTGTGGGTATTGCGCTGTCTTGTGAGCTTCGCCCAAGGCGCTGTCGCCTGCGGCGGCTGCTCTGGGGCCTGTGGTGTCCAGCGGGAGGCTTTCGTCCCCGGCGTGTGTCGTGGGGCCTGTGCTGTCGCCGCCTCGTGACGCTTAACGCTCTGCCGATCTAGGTGCGGCCGCGTCCAAGCACCGCCAGATGCTGACCCAGGGGCGCGAGCACCCGTACCAGAGGGTGGGCTCACTCTCACAAATGTAGCGCGCCGGGCGAACGGAGCAGGTCAGTGGGCGCCCGGGCGTCGGGTCACGACCGTTCCCCTTCCGTCTCCTCCTCGTTCCGCGCCGTATCCTCAGGCGGCCAGGCTGACCTGAGCCGGGTCAGTGTCGCCTCCCCGCCGCGGCACTCACTCGCGGCTGGTGATCGCAGGCGCGCGCGCCGCCGGCCGGGTGTTGTGTGCAACTCGTGCGCCTGTCTGCAGCGGTTGTAGGCTGATGGTGCTGCAGTGTTTTGTATCTGCTTGTGAACGTTGGCAGTACGTGTTGTGGAGAACGCAATACATTGTTCCGTTTTGATAGTCGGAGTTGATTTCTTTGCCGGCCACATGGCCGGTCAGAGTTCTCTGAGTAAGCCGGCGCCAGAGCCGTTAGCCGCCGTTGCCGGGTACATGTTGCCGAGTGACTGGCCCGCCGTGCTGCCTGGCTGCCCCGCCGCCTTCCCGTCTGCTGCTCGTGAACCGCTTGGCCCGTACTCTCGCTCCCACCGCCGTCGCTGTCTGGCTCCATCCCTGCCACACGGAGCATGTGTCGCCCGGTGTCTGCCCGCCACCCGGAGGGTCCCGCCGCAGTAACGGTGACTGATCTGGGGACGTCCTCCCCTTGCCGCGGCCCGGCAGCGAATTGCTGCTGCCCGACGGGCGTGCCGTCATCGGCAACGTAGTTCTCGTGCTTGCTGTTGACACTCATGATCGGCCACGGACAGCTTACCTCACGTAGTGCCGCGTCTCTTAACCGGAATTAACGCCTCGGCACACGGTCCTGGACTCTGGCGTGCATTTTACCCCACCACTAATGCGAGACCGGTTCGCCGTGTACCATATGCCGCCTGCGCGCCCGGGTCTCCGCTACCATGTACTAACACTGCTGTTCTCTCTTTTCCACCGCTGCCCGCCCGTCTCGCTGGACAGAGCTAACCAACCCGTAACGCGCCGACCCGGCTGGCGGACCGGTCTCAGCCGGCGGGAGGAGCGCCGCCGGCCGACAGACGTCCAGCGTGGCGTGGGACTAGCCCGCGGCGGCGGCGGCGGCGGCGGCGGCGGCGCGCCCTGGCGGTGATCCGCGGACGCGCGCCGCCCGCGGCGGAATGGGCCGGCGGGCCGGGCGCGCGGCGCAGGGCCGCCGGCGACGGCAACGGGTCGGCTGCCGGCGCCGCGCCACGTACAACTCGGTGTGCCAACTCGCGCGCGGCGGAGGCGATGGCGGCGTCGCGCGGACCGCCGCACACATTCATTTGCCATCGATGACTTGGATTTGTACTTGTGTTTGTGGCGTATTTTTGTATTCGCGTCAGTGGAGTATTCCTCCCTCTGTTCTTTTTTGTTCGCCAGCTTCATTTTACGTGGCAGCTGGAAGTAGCTTGCAAGTGCAAACGCTTGTGTACTTAATCTCAGTCCAGCTACGTGGTTTTGGTCATACGTTTTGTACGTGCAATTTTTGGAGGCGAAATCTCAGACCTGTTCACATAGAAAATAGACACCCGGTCCCGCGATGTTCGTGGGAAGAGGAACTTTTTGTTCGTTCTGTGGTAACATCCGACTACCCTGTGCCAAACGTGTGCCTTAACAAAGTGCTTAATATTCTAGAGATCAGTTGTTGTCATTTGAATAAACGTATATTTAGGACTACGGGTGATGTTCCTGGCCTCTACCTCCGCTGAAAGCAATGCACAGCGTTCACAAATAACCCAGTGGTGCGTGTCACCTTTATGGAGAAGTCTGACGAACTCAGAATGATACTCTGAATTGAATACCATGAAATGACACCTCATCCTTGTCGGAAAGTTCAATCCAGCTCCGTATCTCGCGGGACGCTGCGACGCTTCCAGTGCTGAAGCTCCTCAAAACATGAGTTGTTTTGTACATGTCCGGCGCCAGTGCGAAGTCCTCGCCGACTGACCGGCGACAGGTGACTTCGCCTCCGCCTGCGGTCGTGAGGACAGCCGTGTGCCGGCCGCCGTCTGGGCCTGGAGCGTCACAGCAGACGGCTGCCGGGCCTCGGATGGCGACGCTGGCCGCCGTCTGGGTCTGGAGCGTCACAGCAGGCGGCTGCCGGGCCTCGGATGGCGACGCTGGCCGCCGTCTGGGTCTGGAGCGTCACAGCAGGCGGCTGCCGGGCCTCGGATGGCGACGCTGGCCGCCGTCTGGGTCTGGAGCGTCACAGCAGACGGCTGCCGGGCCTCGGATGGCGACGCTGGCCGCCGTCTGGGTCTGGAGCGTCACAGCAGACGGCTGCCGGGCCTCGGATGGCGACGCTGGCCGCCGTCTGGGTCTGGAGCGTCACAGCAGACGGCTGCCGGGCCTCGGATGGCGACGCTGGCCGCCGTCTGGGTCTGGAGCGTCACAGCAGACGGCTGCCGGGCCTCGGATGGCGACGCTGGCCGCCGTCTGGGTCTGGAGCGTCACAGCAGGCGGCTGCCGGGCCTCGGATGGCGACGCTGGCCGCCGTCTGGGCCGCGCTCAGACTGCGGCCTCCGCCGCCAGACTCAGGCGGCCAGCGGTACACCACCAGGAGGCGGGCGGCCGCGCCTCAGAGGGACATGCTGGGGTTTACGGGACCATGGGCGGCCAGCGCGCTTCCGAACCTGCTACAAAATAATTGATTAATCTATCTTAACCCCGAGATCTTTGTTAGAGCTACATGTGCCTGGCCTTGAGGACTTGAGGACGGAGCTGTTTCCCTGCCGCTTGGTATATCCGATGAACATGAGCTGCGGACCATCCCGAACATTCCCGCGTTCCGCGAGACGAGACAAAGTCAAGGTCCATGTTATCCGACACGCGCATGTCATCTGTCAAATGTCACCAGGCCTGGAGTCATCGCGTGCGCCAGCCAGCCGTGCCCGCGCTCAAACGACGGGCGGGTTTGAAAGAGAATGGACGCCTCGCTGCGCGCAGACGGTTACCTGCCGGCAGTGCAGAGCAGTGCGGTCTGGTTGTAGTGCCCACGCGCAGACGGCTACCTGCCGGCAGTGCAGAGCAGTGCGGTCTGGCTATAGTGCCCACGCGCAGACGGTTACCTGCCGGCAGTGCAGAGCAGTGCGGTCTGGCTATAGTGCTCAGGCACGTTCGCTTGCTGTGATTGTGACTCACAGTGGTAACTCGGGCACTATAACCAGGCCTTTTGTTAAAAAAACCTTAAAGGCTCTGACCGCACGCCAAAATTGCGCTCAATCGTTATTGACATTCCGTCTCTTCCCTGACGTGTTTTGTCCAAATGTTCCTAACGTACCCAGGTAACGAGCATGCAACAGCAGATGCAGGACGGCAGGTGGGACGCACCGTACCTGGCTGAAGTGGTGCGCATCCGGCTCTTTAGTGCATGTGTCATTTATCAGGTCACCTGACGGCACGACTTCGATATCTGATCGAAGAGCTTTACACGACAGCGGCTCTGGGAACTTCACGAAACCGATTACTGCCCCCTGTCATCACTATCGCATGCCCCGCTGTCTTCAACACAAAGGTGCGATACCTTACTACCCATCCAAACACGCCGCTGAGTCACTTCGAATGCGATATCGACGGGTTTTAGTCATGTGATTTGCATGCAAGGAGCGTCGTAAGCGTGACGGTGCATTATGCATAGATTGACGCCTGTGGGACATGGCTCCCTCGTGGTACGGAACCTATGCTGGGACCAAATGTAGGACCGCTGGCCGCAGGCACTCTTGGTACAGTAGCATGCGCATTTAACTGTTCAAAATCTCTGCAGCATGATATCTTAACTTACTAGAAAATGCCATGTTCACGCAGACATGAGCGAAACAGCGCAGCGCTCGGCGCTATGTGCGGAGCAGGAGGTGCCATGGTAACTACATCTCCCCACCTCGAGACTGATAAAACGCTAGAAAACTGGAGAGGATGTCTCACTTTGTGAGCATTGGCACAGTCGGCATGGAGGAATAGCGGGCTGAACTTTAATAAGAGAAGCGAAAGCAGAGGAGAAATTACGAGGCATGTCGTGCTCTGTGAAATCACCACCATCGTATGACTGGCCTGGAGTGAGCCGGTACCCATACATTGCAGGCACGGCAATGTCAGCAATGACGCCCACATCGATGTTGGTATCAACGTCGGACGATGCTCCTCTTCAACATCCGGGAAGAGCGCAACCCCACCGACAAGTTCAGGGGCAGCCTGTGTGTGAGCTGCGGTCGGCCGCCGTTGGGAGTGCGCCACTGTCAGGGACACTAGCGTACAGCTTCGCTGAGCTGAGCTGACATCTGTGGGCGCTGAGCTGTGAAGCTGGACACCAGATGGCGTTTGTGAGCTCCAGAGCTGCGCAGCCGGTGGATTTTGGCTAGGTGCGGGCCCTGGGGCGGGGTCCTGCGAGCGGAGTCGCGAAGCTGAGCCAAGCGTCTGCGAGTCTCAGTCGTCAACCGCAGCGAGTCTCCTCTCCAGAGGCTCCGTCAGCCGCAGCGAGTCTCCTCTCCAGAGGCTCCGTCAACCGCAGCGAGTCTCCCCTCCAGAGGCTCGATCTCAATGGCGGCTGCACACCGCCTTATCACAGCAGCTGGCCGGCCAGTACGGCCAGTACCGACGGACATCACAGCGCGTCGGGCGAGACGATACCCGCCAGCCGCCAGCCGCCGCTCCTGGCGGGCCGCCGCTGCGTCACCGCACTGCCTCTCTCACACACCGAAACGCTTAAGGATGAGTTCCTTGCCCTTCGCCATGAAGCCCTTGACTTCGCCGCCAACCTCTCCATCACACCACCCAGCTTCCTTCTGCATAAAAGCCAGAGCCAGCGGTAGAGGCTGGGGCGCGGGGCCCGCCTGCCCCGAAGGCGCAGCGGTCCCGGCCGAGCCCGCGCCGGCCGCCGCGCCTCCGGCCTCGGCGCCGCCCGGCGCTCAGTCCGCCGGCGAGTCCCAGGGCGCAGTCACTCCCAGACCGGAGGTGACCACCAGGCACTCTAGTTAATGTGTAGTAGCCGTATTTGCAGTAGCCATATTTGCAGTAGCCATATTTTACGGTATCTATCACGTGACCGTGGGTTAAACACCGGGTTCACTATGTTATCTGTTGACAAAAGAGGGAAATATGACTTTGGGCCATTTAGTGACAAGAGTTGAACAGAAGTATGCCGCAGCAGTGCCATCTACCGGCAGAAATCCAAATTAATTTGAATGCCCTGATCGTTGGATGCTATCGACTTTGAATGTTAGGACTTCGGACGTTGCGCGCTTCGACGAAATGCCCCCCCCCCCCCCCCACCCTTCCCCCCCCTCCAATGAACGCGTGGCTGGACGCATTGTTTATGTTCCGAACCCTGGATGTTACGGTATTGAATGCTGTG